CCTGAGATTCAAACTGGCGAACCCTGGGTCGCCAAAGTGCAGCATGTGAACTTAGCCGCTGCACCACTGGGCTGGCCCCTAATGAGCCTTTTAATTAGGAATTCAGTTCTTAAATTGGTTTCGGTAGTATTCAAGTTATTTATTTCACCTTGGTTGAGTTTTGGTAGTTTGTGGGTTTCGTGGAATTGATCCATTTCTTAGAAATGTCGGATTTATGAGTATAAGTTGTTTGTAGTATTTCTTTATTATCCTTTTAATCACTGCAGGACCTGTAGTGATATTCTGTTTCATTCCTGATACTAGTGATCTCTGTTTTCTCTCTTTTTATCTTTGTCAATCGTTCTAGAGGTTTTATAGATTGTTTTTAAAGCAGCTTTTTGAGTCGTTGATTTTTCTCAGTTGTTTTCATTGTTATTGATTTCTATCTTTTTTATTTCCTTCCTTCTGCTTGTTTTGGGTTTATTTTGCTCTTCTTTTTCTAGTTTTTTGATATAGTAAATTAGATTACTGATTTGAGATCTTTCTTCTTTTCTAATGTAAACTTAAACTACTGTAAATTTCCCTCTTAGCATTGCTTTGGCTGTGCCCTATCTATTTTCATACATTAGATTTCATTTTCCTTCAGGTCTGTGTATTTTTAAAATTCTCTTGAGACTTCTGCTTTGACCCACAAATGATTTAGAAGTGATTCTTTAGTTTCCAAGTGTTTGGGTATTTCCCCCTTATCTTTCTGTTATTGATTTGTAGTTTGGTTCCATTATGGGCAGTGAACATGCTCTATGATTTCAATCCTTTAAATTTTTTGAGATTTATTTTATGGCTAGGATATGGTCTTTCTTGGTGGAATGTTCAATGAGCACTTGAAAAAAATATTTGTTCTGCGGTTGTTGGGTGAAGTGTTCTTTATCTATCAGTTGGACTCTGTTGAGTGATTGTACTGTTCACTTCTTATATATCCTTGCTGATTTTCTGTCTAGGAGTTGTACTCATTACTGAGAGTAGGGTATTGTGTCTCCAACTTATGGCTTGCCTATGTCAGTTTCTCATTTCATCTCTATTAGTTTTGTTTCTTATATTCAAGGCTCTGTTGTTTGGTACATCCATTTAGAATTGTTATGTCTTCCTGGTGGATTGATCTTTTAATTGTTAATGTAATGTCTGTCTTTGCCTCTAGTTATTTTCTTTGTTCTGAAGTCTGCTTACCTGATAGTAATATAGCCACTCTGCTTTTTTTTTTAAAGTAATGTCTGCATGATGTATCTTTTTTCAGCCTTTTACTTTCAACCTAGCTATGTCTTTGTATTTGAAGTAAGTTTCTTATAGACAGCATGTTGTTGGGTCTTTTGTTAGTCCTCTCTGCCATTTTTTGTTTGTTTGTTTGTTTGTTTTGCTAAGGCAGATTAGCCCTGAGCTAACATCTGTTGCCAGTCTTCCTCTTTTTTTGCTTGAGGAAGATAAGCTCTGAGCTAACGTCTGTGCCAGTCTTCCTCTGTTTTATGTGTGGGATGCTGCCACAGCATGGCTGGCGAGTGGTGTATGTCCACACCAGGGATCCTAACCCATGAACCAGGGCTGCCGAAGTAGAACATGCTGAACTCAACCACTAGGCCATGGGGCTGGCCCCTCTGCCAGTGTTTTGTGCCAGTCTCAGCCTATATGTACTGATGCTCTTATTGTCTGGGAATGCCTAGGGGTGCTCACCTGGTCCCTGTATACTTTTGGCAAGCCCCCACAGACATTTACCCCTCCAGAACCAATGTTGTGGCTGGACTGGCCCTTGTGATTCTTATTATGATTGCAAGTGGTACCTTAGCAACAACCGTCATGGAACTTTGAAAAAACAAGGTTTATTACTCACAGGTCCTAGAGGATATGTGGCACGCCTAGGGCCACACAGCGTGGTCACAGGTAGAGAGAGGATGGACCTGAGGTTCTGCCTTTAGTGGAGTCCAGCGTGGGATGCTTAGGGTTTTGAGGGTTCACTGTTTGTTGGTGAATTTCAAACATAAGAGCGGCAAGTAAAGCACAGGAAGGGAAAAGCAGGGTCATTCTAACAGTTATCTAGGACACCCAGGGCTTTCTAAAAGGGGAACTTCTTGTGTGAGGTGGCCTGACTCTCCGGTTGTGTAGCTGGCAATATGTTTATTCAAGGTAGATGTTTTTGAAATGGATGCTTTGGCAATCAAAAGCTTAATGTCAGGCACTTACATTACAATCAAAAAGGCTAATTGTTAGGCAGTTACACTACAGCCAGTCTCTGTTAATTGGTATATTTAGACCATTTAGATTAAAGGTAATTATTGATATGTTAGGGCTCAAGTCCGCCAGTGAATTGTTTCGTCTGTTTCTCTTTTCTTGCTTTCCTGTGGTTTCTTTGAAAGTTATTTTAAGGTTCTATTTTGATTTCTTTATAATGCCTGAGTATATTGCTCTGTACAGTTTGCTGAGTGTTGCTCTGGGTATTACAGTATGCATACACAACTTAGCCCAGTCTAATGATATTTTATCAACTCAAGTGAAGTGTAGAAACTATTTCCATTTAGGTCCGTTTACCCTCCCCAGTGTTTAAATATGATTGTGTTTCCTCTGCATGCGGTTGTTCCATCTTGGTAGGACTGGGGGTCCGTGTGCTTGTCTTTTGTCTGTCATCCTTACTGAACTGTTAGCCCTAGTAGCTCTTTATTACTTCCAGCAGTTGTCTTGAGTTGCTGTGTATGGTTGTATCGTCTACAGAAAGGATGTTTTCACCCCTTTCTTTCTTGTGTCCATACCTTTTATTTTTATCTTATTGCCAAGCAAAAATGTTGTCTGTTTTTTCTGTTTTTCAACATCAGCATTGACTCTGTATCTTTTCCCTCTGCCTGTATAAAAATGAGAGATTTGCTTTTACTTTTCTCATTCCCTGCTTCTAAGTTTTTGTGATACAGTCTGGATGTTTTAAGTCTCCATTTTTATCTGAATATACCTAATTTTCATTTTTTTCTGTGCTCTGCTTTATCTACCTCTCTGACCTCATCCTCTGCTCTCTCCCTTACTCCATCTCCACTGGCCTGATATCATGACCTTTTTGCTTCTCCTTTAGCACACGAGGTGTGTTTCTGTCTCAGGCCTTTGCATTTGATGTTCTATCTGCCTGAAGTGTTTCCCCTTTGCCCCCAGATATTCAGATGGCTTGCTCTCTCCCCTTCTAAAAGGTCTTTACGCAAATGTCACATTCTCACCATGACCTTCCCTGACTACCTCCTAAGGTTGTAGTTCATCCCCCATCAAATTGCCCTATTCTCTTCCTTACTTGATTTTCTCCTCATAGCACTTACGGCCATCTAATGTGCTGTTTGATCTATTAGCTGGTTTATTGTCTATTTGTCTATTAGAATATCAGTTCCATGAAGGCAGGAATCTTTCTCTGTTTTGTTCACTGTTTTATTCCCACTGCCCAGAACAGAGTCTGGCACATATAGGTACTCAATAAGTATTTATTTAAATAACTAATCTTGTATTTAGCATTTTCCTTCTTCAAGTCAGGGTTATCAGGCCAAAGGTGAATTTTTTTGTAGTTCTTTATACCTTTTGTCATATAACTTTCTTTTTTGTTTGCTTTATTTCTTATTTATTTGTGCCAGGTAATACTTTTCATATGGTTTAAAGTTCAAACGGTACAAAAGGGTTTGTGTTGAAAAGTATTCCTCCCACTTCCATATTCAAGCACCTGTTTCTCTCTTAGAAGCAACTAGCTTTGTCAGTTTCTTGACACTTCTTACAGAGACATTCCCATATGGCTTTCTAGAAAGTTGACAATACTTTACAATTATGTCTGTCTAGAACAGTTCCTGTTGTACTTTCTATCTACTGCTCAATCCTCATCAATAGCCAGTATCAACCATTTTTTAGTGAATGTTAGTATCATGCTAGCTGCTGAGGGAGTGAGATAATGAAATACTATTTTGCCCACGCTCTTGAAGTTCAAAACCTGGGTGGGATGGGAAAGTATCCACACTAACAAAGTAACACAGGGTTTTAAAAGATCAAGATGATGCATACGAAATATCACAAAATGTTGAATAACTAATCGTCAAATGAGGTATAAGTAATAAATACCATGAAAACTAGTTCATCAAAGCAGAAAGTGATTATATTTATCAGGGAAAGCTTCACAGAAAAGGAGAAATACATTGGCTTTGGGTAGTCTGCAAAGAGTGTAGAAGGAAAGGAGTATATTATACCTCCTGTGTGCACTAATGTGCTATTTAAGCAGTAAGATCCCACTAGGAATATATTTTCCTGCCATGAGACTAGCAAAGAGGAATAACAAAGCCCTCATCTTGTCAAGGAGAGACTATATACGCTTGTAACAAAGTCAGTGCGAGGACTTGCTGTGAAGAAGGTTCCAGTGCAGTCGGGTCAGAGAGAGATCATAGGCATTTGGGGAAATCAAGAAAATTTTTATAGGGAACTTATGTTTAAGATGGAGCTTGTAAAATAAATAGGATTTTTAATAGGCACGAAAGGATAACACAGTGGAAGATTCTAGTACAGGGATTGGCAAACTGCAGCTCTCAGGCAGACTACCTGTTTTTGTGAATAAAGTTTTATTGGAATACAGCTGTACTCATTCTTTTATGTGCTATCTATGACTGCTTTCATGCTGTGATGGCAAAGTTGAGCAGTTGAGACAGACCATATGGTCTGCAAAGCCGAAAATATTTACTATCTGGCCCTTTACAGAAAGTTTGCTGCTCCCTGCAGGTAGATAAGATATAGGTGGGAAAGCATTATTGTAACTATTAAAGAAATGAAAATAAGATGTTTATTATAGTTGGGGGGGCGGTCAGTCCTAAAAGGGTGAGTGGTTAAAGAGGAGGTTAGCCTTGAAGGAATACAGTAAGGAGACCATTATTAATAGAGAGGAAGTGAGGGGCCATTCCAGGCTGGGACAATAGTTCAATAAGACACAAGTGTGGCTTGCCCTTAATCCTGCTTTCTAATTTTTCCCTCGTCAGCCAAGAAGGATCAGGAAGGTGGAGAAGAAAAGAAATCTGTGCAGAAGAAAAAAGTAAAAGAGTTAAAGGTGTTGGATTCAAAGACAGCCCAGAATCTCTGTGAGTAATTCTGTGATGCCAACTATTTGAAATGTGAAGGAGTTCTTCTAAGAACTTAATTCTGGTGGGTCCAAGGTCCCTTGTTATGAAACTTTTGTTTGTTGAGTTCCTGCTGTATGCCGGGCATTGCATAGTGAATTTCCGATATCTCATTGAATCCCTCCAGTAGCCCTGCAAGATTGTTAGTATCTGGCTTTATGTCAAGGAAAGGGAGGCTAAGGCTTTTAGGAATTTGCCTAGTCATGTAGCTAGTAAGAGACAGGTCTGGGATTTGAATCTTGGATTTCCTTATTTCAAAGCCCTTGTTATTTCCATTGCATCTGCAGGAAATTTACCACAAATGTTCTAGGCACTATACATTTCCTTCTTTCTCACTTTCTTTTAAGTATTTCCTTTAAATGCAGGTACTGGCCTGACTTCAGTTAAATGTAAAATAACTTTGTGGTTTAGAATAAATAATGTAAATCCTGTACGTCTCAGAGCAGGCTCAGTAACTCTGAAAAGTTCTGTTCTGAACTTGCTACCTCTGCTCATAACTCTGATTGGTGGCAAAATTTCAGATCAGAAACTCCTCTGCAAAGTTGATATAGGTAGTACTTATTTGATAATTAGGATGAATGTTTATTTTTGTTCATTTTGACTGTTGATCTCCTTACTTTATGTTGAATAATAACAGATTTAAATATTTGTTCACCAAATACTTGAGGGTCTGCCGTGTTGCAGGCTCTATTAGGCACATAGCAGGCATGTGTTCCAGAGATGAAAGGGTATGTATTCCATAATACCCACTCACAGTCTTGTGATGTGGCTGTTGTCCTCATTTTTCTAAATGAGAAAACTGAAGTTCAGATGTGGTGACTTGGTCAAGGTCACACAAGTAGTGAGTACATATACCTATAAGTGAAGTCAGTGATACAATGAGAACAGTAGGCCTTTACATTGTTCTTGGTGATATAATATTAGGTCACTGACAGCAAATAATTCTAAAGAGTGTCTGTGGGTAAGTCCTCTTATGGAGACTAAAGTAATGTCTCCTCTTCTCAAGATTGTCTCTAGGAACATAAAACATGAATACCTGTTATTTTGGAAAATGATCCAAGACTGGGATAGTACATTGTTATTTCCAGTGGAGTAATATCGATATGAAAAGCAGAACTCAGAAAGAGAATTGAGGTTAGTGCAGGGTGGGCTGGTCTAGGCAACGTAATTTAGTGATTCCAACATTACTAAGTGCCCTTGTGTGCTGGAGACACAAAGCCAAGTCCTGCCCTCATGAAACATGTGTCTGGTGGAGACAGAAAAATAAATACTGGTAATAGCATGGATTAATAAATGCTGTAATAGAAGTGTGCTGGGATGCTAATGAGAGCACTAGGAAAGTGGGCATCTAAATCAAGTTGGAGGGAGCACATCCGAGATGTCATTCTAAAGGAGGTGCTGCTTAAACTGAATTGAGGGAACTGTTAACAGTGGATTAAGTGAAGGGTGAGGGCTGGCTTGTTCCAGGCAGAGGGATCAGCATGTCTGATGGCACAGAGGCATGAGTCAACATTGTGCAAGTAGTTGAGCACAGCCGAGTGAAGGCCATATGTGAGGAAGTGGTGGGAGAAGAAGCTTCCTAGAAATAGAGGCTACATCATAAAGAATTCTGGTAGGCTTAGGCAATGGCAGTTATTGAAGTGATCTTACTCAGGAAGATAAGTGATACAACCCTATGTAATTTGAGGGAAGGCTACTTCAGCAGTGATTTTGAGGCTGGATTGCTAGGGTAGGGGAAGGCTAGGTATAGAGGTGAATTATGTCTTTGTTTTAAACTGGCTGAGAGGTAATCAGGGTCTGAAACTAAAGTAGTGAGAATGAACAGAAAGGCAGAAGATATAAGAATTACTAGAACTTAGTGATTGACTGAGGGGATAAGGAAGGAGGTGTTTTCTTGGGTTTAGATCACTCTATAGAGAGCGATACCATTTACTGAAATAGGAACATGCAGCAGGAGCACATTCTCTGTCTTTTGGGAGAGAAGTATTGGGTAGTGGACATGAATGAGAGGCGTCAAGGTGGTGGGTAGAAATGATTAATTTTAGGATAGAATTTAAGATGCCTGTGGCACTCCTCCAAAAGGATGAGTGTATTAGGCATTTGAGTGTAGAAATCAGGAGGAAGATTTTGGTGGAGATAAAAATTTAGGAGATAGCATTTGAGTCATAGTTGAAGCCATGAGTTTGCTTTGAAGGCGATTGATATTTAAGGTGCAAGTAAAAAAACGAAGGGTGGGGAGAAACCTAAAAGGAGGCTGGAAAGGAGCAGCAAGGAAAATACTATGACATAGTCCTAAGAAGTGGGAGTAGTCAGCAGTGTCAAACGAAGACAGGCGTTAAGTTAAATCAAGACAAGGCAGGTCTCCTTTGGATCTGGCATTAGGAAAGTCAGTAGCCTAAGCAAGAATAATTTCAGTATAGCATAGAGGTTAAGAACAGAGGCCCTGGAATCCATTTGTATTTAAATCCTGGCTCCAACCCTACTAGAAGTGTGACTTTGGATGGGTAGCTTAACTTCTTTAAGTATTAGTTTCCTTTTCTATCAAATGGGGCTAATAATAGGGGCTAATAATGGGGCAAACTTATAGGGATATTATGAATAGGGTTAAATGAGAGCATGTCTGTAGATTGTGTTTAAGGTGCTATGTCTTACATGAATTATACACTGAATAAATAGTTGCCATCTTTTCATTGATTATGTGGAGACAGAAGAATAAATGCGAGCTGTGGAAGTGAGAAGGAATAGACTTGTATTTTTAGAATGTTGTTAAAGTGAAGGAAAAAAGTAATTTGGTAGTTAGAGAGGACTATGGGTTGAGGAGGGTTTTTTGTTTTTCTTTTTTCAGATATGAGAAACTTGATTATGTATATATGCTGAAGGAAAATGTCCTTAGGGCCACCTGTTCTATTGAAAGATGAGGAAAGGATGAGTGTATGGGTATAGTTGCTGATAAGCTTGCAGAAGTGTTGGCACAAGTTTTCTTCTAGATAATTCCAAAGTAGTCCTTAACCAAGCCTTTTCTAGTCTGGCTCCAGCTGAGGGTCCCCAATACTCTGCTTGTTAGTGGCATAAGAGAAAGCTTAGTAATTAATTTGACCAATAGCTTCAGTTTCTCTCAGTGAAGGTGAGCAAGATCTTAGAACAAATGGGGAAGTGGTGGGAGAGTTGGGAGAAGGGGGATTTTTTTTTTTTTTTAAGATTTTATTTTTTCCTCTTTCTCCCCAAGGCCCCCCGGTACATAGTTGTATATTCTTCGTTGTGGGTCCTTCTAGTTGTGGCATGTGTGATGCTGCCTCAGCGTGTTTTGATGAGCAGTGCCACGTCCGCGCCCAGGATTCGAACCAACGAAACACTGGGCCACCTGCAGCGGAGCGCGCGAACTTAACCACTCGGCCACGGGGCCAGCCGCGAAAAGGGGGATATTTTGAAGGAGCTGCCAAGAGGGTCAGAAGAGCATGAGCTAGGGACACATAGAAGGATTGCTAGGCAGCGCCGAAGCCACAGCTGTCGTTGGTGCCACTACAGATTCATAGATTCTGATCTGCAGTATTCATCAGCCCAGGAGTAAGAGTAGAGAAATGAGATAGCTGGATTAACCAGGGCCTGGAGGAGAAGGAAAAAGACAGTAGGAATAGTAGTAATAGAAGTGGAAGTAACAGCAGAGAGTGAGTGAAGTGATAGACTATAGGGTCTAGGTTAAAGAGGGAAGGCAAAGTGGAACTGATACATTGAGAGAAAATGGAATGGTCAGCTCTCTTGCCAGAGAGAGAGAGCACTCTGACGAGGCTGAAGGGTCAAATTAGAGATTAGTAAGCAAGAGAGCTGGAAAGCTAGGAAGTCTTTGTTAGTGAATGGGATATGGCAGTTTAAGAATCAGAGCATTTTGAAGCAGTGGCAGCTTTGAGGATGGAGTCATGGGAATGGGGAACTAAAATAGAGTAGGGTGAACATCTTTGATGTACATAGAGAAGATCAAAGACTTCCTGTGTGAGCAAAGACAAGGAGTCACAGACTTGGTAGAATTTGGTGCTTGGAACAATGTGGCTGGTATGTGACATAAATGTGGAGATTAATGAGAGAGAAAGGTGGCAGGTGGGAACCTTAAACACTGGACTCAAGAACTTGGCTTTTAACTATATAGGCAGTGAGGAGCTGGTGGAGGTTTCTGACGGTGACTTCAAAAGAGCGCTCTTAGGAAATTGTCCACCACAGGCTTGCAGGATGGACTAGAAAAGGGAAGAGTCTGAGAAGAACATGTCTTTATATCTCATTTTCTTGCAGCAATCTTTTTGGGTTCCTTCCGCATGCCCTATCAAGAGATTAAGAATGTCATCCTGGAGGTGAATGAGGCTGTTCTGACTGAGTCTATGATCCAGGTAAGGAGCAAGGTGGTTCTGCTGGAGCTGGCTCTTTGCATCACTGTACACTGGCCTCATCGCCTCTCTGCTTCGAGTATGAGGATGCTCCTCTAGCATTGTTGGCTTAAAGAATGCTAGCTTTGGGTAAGCTTCCATCTCTCTGCTGGTCAGCTTGTTTCTGGTATATTTTTCAAAAGTCCTGCCACCTCACATACCTCCCCAGCCCATGTTTTCTTCTTAGTGGTCCTTGGGCCGAGTGAGGGACTGATAGGAGAGTAGAATAGCCATTTAGACTCAAGTTGTCAGCTTGTCCCCTTCAAACTGAGACAGTCCCTTCTCTCTTTCAGAACCTCATTAAGCAGATGCCAGAGCCAGAGCAGTTAAAAATGCTTTCCGAACTGAAGGATGAATACGATGATCTGGCTGAGTCAGAGCAGTTTGGTGTGGTGGTGAGTGAGGCCTGTGGCAATAGGCCCTTCTCCGACCCCTTTGCTCCCCTCCTCCCCGAGAGCAGTGGGGCACTTCCTCATTGCCTCTTATCTATTCTGAACCTGTCTTTATCTCTCTCTTCTCCCTACTCTGGAACTCAGATCCTCCCATAAGAGGCTCAAGCCTGTATCTTTTTCTTACTTCTCTCTCTGTTGGGTATAACGGAACTGCTTCTCTTCCCCACCAGATGGGCACTGTGCCCCGCCTGCGGCCTCGCCTCAATGCTATCCTCTTCAAGCTCCAGTTTAGTGAGCAAGTGGAGAATATCAAGCCAGAGATTGTTTCCGTGACTGCTGCATGCGAGGAGTTGCGAAAGAGCGAGAACTTCTCTAGCCTCCTGGAGATTACCTTGCTTGTTGGAAATTATATGAATGCTGGCTCCAGGAATGCTGGTGCCTTTGGCTTCAGTATCAGCTTTCTCTGTAAGGTGAGCTGGGGGCTTAGAGCAGGACAACAGAAGGGAAGGCTGCTGGCCTCTGTGAGCCCAGTGTGACAAACTGCCGTCAGCCTGAGATGATCTCGGGCGTGTCAGGACTAACAGTTTCTTCTCTTCCCTCCAGCTTCGAGACACCAAGTCCACAGATCAGAAGATGACATTATTGCACTTCTTGGCTGAGTTGTGTGAGACTGACCATCCCGATGTCCTCAAGTTTCCAGATGAGCTTGCCCATGTGGAGAAAGCCAGCCGAGGTGGGGCAGGTTGGAGTGAAGCTAGAAGGTGGTTCCAAGCTCCCCAAATTTCTGCATGGGGAGGGAAATGAGACATGGTCTAGATGTAGATCATTTGCAGTTCACAGTATTTTAAGTGGAAATGGGAGAGGGTACAGGCATGATGTCTAAGGCACAAGGGAGGAGTATCAGGCAGAAAAGAGGTCTCCATGTATAGAAATGAGAAGCACTCTTTCCCTTCCTAGGGAAACACCAAACACCAAAAAACAACTGGAAGAAAGGCGGGTGTTTTTAGTCTAGGTCAATGATTTTTTTTTCTTCTTCTTCTCCCCAAAGCCCCTCAGTACATAGTTGTATAATCTAGTTGTAGGTCCTTCTGGTTGTTCTAGGTCAATGATTTTTCTCGTTCAGAAAGCATAGACTGGATTAACAAAAACCAGGAACTAGGCAAAGAAAAAGCAGCATTCGGTCGAAATGGGAACAGATTTCTGCCGTACCTCTGCATTTTTGTGTATATCTCCTTCCTCCCAAACCCTGTTCTCTAAAATAAATGAGACCGAGATCCCAGGGGATTTCATAGATTCTTGTTAAATTGAATGAAGCCTCTCTTCTTTTCTTAGTACTGTACAGCTTATGGAGGCTGGAGGTTCAATCATCACGTAATTTATAGTTTCCCTGGAAAGATGTATGAAACAACTAGAGGGGCCATAAGAGAACTCAAATAGTTAAGTACCAGCTGTATGTATAGACTGTGCTGTGCCCTGAAGGGCAGAAGCTGAGGGTCTGGAGAATACATTTAGTAGGCTCTTGCTGTCTGTTGTTGTGTCTTCTTTAGTTTCTGCTGAAAACATGCAAAAGAACCTAGATCAGATGAAGAAACAAATTTCTGATGTGGAACGTGATGTTCAGAATTTCCCAGCTGCCACAGATGAGAAAGACAAGTTTGTTGAAAAAATGACTATATCCTTTCTTGAAAGGAGAGTAATTGCTCCCTTGGAAAGGAAAGAACTTCCCATGGGTGGACGGTAAGATAGATCTGGTGATACACAATTTTTCCCTCTTCAAAAAATTTTTTTTCATTAAACACATAGTTCTTGAAAGCATTCTCATTGTTGCAGAAAGGGAAGCAAACCACAGAGATAAACTAAAAGTCCCCCTTGATCCCTTGCTCTCTGCCCTGTCTCTACTACATACACCACGTACCTATTCCCTTTTCTCTCCACTTCCCAAGATAATCACTGCCACTGGGCTTCTTTCTGATTTGCGCCCTCATGAATTTATTTTAAACAAAAAAGCATTGTGTTGCTTTTTGCACATAATATCTCTTAGCTCTGTTTCCATAGCAGTATATGCAGAACAGCCTCTTTTTTAATTGCCACCTCCTATTCCATAGTTTATGTTTTACCATTCCCCTATTTTGAATATTTAGATTGTTTCTGGTCTTTGCTATTATAAACAGTGCTGTACTGAACATCCGTGTGATGCCACTATGCATCTTTGAGTATTCCTTTGGGCTAGAAAAAGGTCTGCTTCTTGCTGTTGCTCCTTTATTCTTTGGCTGCACAGCTTTGTGAAAGATGCACAGGAACAATATAACAAGCTGCGGATGATGCACTCTAACATGGAGACACTCTATAAGGAGCTGGGCGAGTACTTCCTCTTTGACCCCAAGAAGGTGCCTGTGGAAGAATTCTTCATGGATCTACACAACTTTAGGAATATGTTTGTGGTGAGCAAGGCATACCTGCTGACTGAATCTTTTGTGGACGTTTCTCATTTTCCACCGGGCTCATGTTGGTTGGTGGTGGGTGTGCGTACATGTGAGTGCATACATGCCCACAGGTTAATCTTTTGTCCCCACAGCAAGCAGTCAAGGAGAACCAGAAGCGGCGGGAGACAGAGGAGAAGATGCGGCGAGCAAAGCTAGCCAAGGAGAAGGCAGAGAAGGAGCGGCTGGAGAAGCAGCAGAAAAGAGAGCAACTCATAGACATGAATGCAGGTAAGCAGTGAAGGAGAAGGGCTGATGCGCTGAGACAGGAACATTTGGAAGGCTTCTCTGTCTGGAATCTAGAGGCCAGAGAGAACAGCTCATGTCTGAGCTCAACTCCTGGCAAATGATTGTTGGCAGCCTTCTACCTCTAAGATCCTGACACTGGACCTTAACCCTGACTCAGTTACATGCAAATTCCAGTTCTCCACACTCAGTCTTTTTCTCTTCTTTGCTGGTTCCTGTATTATGTCTCATCTCCCCAGTGATTTTAGCATTGCTGCAACACTTACTCTTTTCTTCTGCTTGTCCAAAAGTTCCTCTGGCCTGTTTTTTGACCCCCTACTTAATCTCTTGTTCTTTTCCCCAAAATATTTTAATGGCATTTTATTATCTTTTAATGGTGGCTTGCCCTCCCTTTCTGCTTATTTAACGGAGTACTGTGTCCCCAGTACCTCAGCATAGTTGTACACACCTATCAGATTGTAAATGGATTGAACTTCTGGAAAGCGGCCAGGGGAGCTGGCCACCCTCTTCTTTCTTCAGCAGAATCTCTTTTTCACTACAAGAAGCATGTCTTTGTTGAAACATATGGCCTCAATTACTGGCCCTGTGTTTCCTGTCTCTGTTTCTTTCCTGCTGCCGATTCCCTGCCCCCCTCTGGCTGCTTTCTCCGTGGGCAGCGGAAATAGAGCATACGCTGCGCACAGCACTGAGCTGATGCCACCTTTCTTGAATGTGAGGGGCTTCTCAGGGCTGCCAGATCTGGCAAGAATCAGAGTGCTTTGCTGAGTGAGCTCAAGAGGCAAGGGCTGCTCGACCACCTCTTGCTCTCAGGGACATTTCTTTGGCCGCTCCTGTTGTGGTATGATCAGGGACCTGAAGCAGCAGGAATAACCTACATTTCAATTTTTCTTTATACTTTTCTGGGAAGCAATTCCCTGCCCTCATTCCAGTTGTCTATAAGCCACAAACGAACTGTTCTATTAAAGCCCACACCGAGTATCCTTCACCTCCCCCCATTCTCCCCAGGCCTCTAGGGTTTGTCCCCAGGTACTGTCTGGGATGCAATGAGGAAAGGTACATTCCAGCTGACATGCAGGATGAGGGCTGCACCTAGTCATCAGGTGGCGCAGCCGACCTTGCCCTTGCTGGGTCCCCAGGGCAAGCAAATGAGGTTGGAATGTAGGTCAGCTGCACTGGTGATGTTCAGCCAGCAGATGGCGCTGGGAGCAGTGAGCCCAGCCTTGTAGTTGGCAGCCTGCTGGCTCCTTGGGATTTCACAGTTTCAGATTTCACCACCCTGAGCTGTTGCCGTGGAAACAGAGCCAGGCTGGAATAAGGATTCTGCATTAACTCTTTGTATTCCAGTCAGGATGCTCCTCTTAGATGCAGAGCTGGCTTTAGGAAGATGCAGGCACTGGCAGCAGTACTTAAGTGAAATGCACTCTTGATCAGTGGTCTCTCATCTTTCCTCAGCCCTTCTCTGAAACCGGAACCAGGCTCTCCATGAGAGGTGTATGTAAATTGGAGTGAAACACTTTAGGGTAAAGAGAGAGTGATATAGTTCCTTATTAATTTCATAATCCCAGTCTCTGTACTTATCCTGGTCTTAGAGTTGGGCAGTTCTGCCATTCTCTGTGCTAGTCCTGATTGGAATGGGAAGGAAGGAGGGAAATGCAGGAAAATATGCCAAGGTTTGCAGGGGTTAGCAGGCAATGAAACCTTTTTGTTTTAACCATTTTCAAACAGACACAAGTAAATATGGGCTGTGAAGCTTGAGGTTGAGCCCTCTGTCTGCTCTGAGCCCCCAGCCACTGTGGGCGAGGGGAACCCAAGCAGTAGCCATGCATTTTGTGTGGGGCGCAACATATGCATTCTGCTTGGGCTGAAGCTTACATCTCCATTTTTGTTCATGACAGAGGGCGATGAGACAGGTGTGATGGACAGTCTTCTAGAAGCCTTGCAGTCAGGCGCAGCTTTCCGACGGAAGAGAGGACCCCGTCAGGGTAAGTAAGAAGATGGAGCCCAGCCTGGGTGTGGAAGGGGGTGAAGCCTCTCTGCTCCCGGTCCTGCTTGTCCTGGGCTGGAGAGCAGGTGCTGTGTTCTGCGGGTTTAGAGCCTTCCCCACAGTCGTCCCTGCGCCTAGAGTGGATTATCTAGTTGTCTTCTTCCCACAGTAGAAAGTTCTGACTTGGAGAACTGGGACTTGAGGGACTGACAATGGGTCAGTTACGTTTGGTTATTCTTGCATTTTTCCCCATTCTTGAAGCAGAAACCTGGAACAAGGGAACCATTGTGCAGGGCAGAGATTTGGGGGGACCTTTGAGTGTATGAACAAAAAATTGAACTAAATACAAAATTGTACATTAGATGTAGAAAACACAAAGAAAAAATAAGTCGAGTCCTTACTCTCAACTTCACAAACAGAAGAGATATAGAGAGAATACTAGAAAGTATCGAATCCTATAGAGAGATCCCCAGATGTAAGAATACAGAGGAGCATCTCAACAGAAGGATTGTGCTGACTACTGCCTTTTCCTTGGGTGCGGGTAGCCTTGGCTGCCCTTGCCTTCCCCAGTTACTCCCCCACAAGCTCCTCTCCTGATCTTCAGAAGATTTAAGTGGGGATTACACCGAGCCAGCGCCTCTAAGAAGAATTATGGGGATAGGAGGGTAAATGATCCAGGCATCAGTATGGGGAAGGATCAGTGGATAATTTTTCTTTGAGAGAAGCAGACAGTGGCCAAGAGAGCAGTCCAGAAGAAGGTATAACCAAAGCTACCCCTCATGTAGGGTTGACCTGCACCATTGTGTCTGGTGAAGGCCCTTTGGGGCTAGGAGTGATGGCTTCTTTCCTAGGTTGAAGGGTGGCAATTACAGAAAAGGTGGCATTCGGGTTTCTACTTGTGAGGGAGTTAAAGCTGTATTCCCTGTTCCCTGGCTGGTACATTCTCTAGACCTGTTTGATATGTGCTTCACTTTAAGATTATGGCAAATAGGAGTTGTACACCTTGCTTTGGCCAGTGCTTAGCTATTTACACAGTGGTATCTATAGGGTCTATAGTACCTGTCACAGCTTGGAAAGGGAACCTTAGGATCAAGGATATAGAGCATGCTAGCCCACATAAACCCAGTGCCCTGGCCCAGATGTTGTAGGTCACTGTGAGTTTTATCTGTAATGGCCGACTGCCTGTTTCTTCCAACACTGAAAATCCAGAGGGGAATTCCCTTCTGAGGGCTCTTCCGTATGACTTCAGAACCTTCCCTAAACAGAAGAATCCCTAGTTACAACTCTTACCCATTTTCTAGCATCCTCTGAGTACAGGCTCTCTAGAGGGGAGGAGCGGTGAGTATGATGGGCTTCAAACTCCCTGAGACAGAGCAGTGTTTGGGTAGAGCGTGCAGCTTGTAGTATTTGTTTTGTGTTTAGTCTTTAGAGGTTTTTGCCTCTTTGTTTCCTACCCACCATATAAGGTAATGTGGCCTTCAGTAAGCCTTTCTAGCCAGACAAAAGTATGTTGCATCTCCCTGTTTTCCTCTGTCCTCTCAGTGAAGTACCAACCTGCATCAGACTTTTGGTGGGGAATTCCCTTTCAAGCCTCTTCCTGTGGAACTATACTAGAATCCCAGATGCTTCCTGTACACAGGCAGCCAGACATCAATGACTTCCCCCTGTTGGGGAGGCCCCATCCTCCACTTCTTCCCAAATGGGAAGCCAGGACTCACAGGCAGAGGAAGCGGGGATCTGGTAGAATAACCTTTCAGCAGAGGACCTGAATTAGTACAGTACTGTTTCCCAGGGCAAGAAGGAATAGCAGGGGCTTATGCTCAGAGATAGTGAAGCAAAAAGAAGGTGAAAATGAGAACTACCTTCTTTTTAAATTGGATTCATCCTGTAGCCTTATCTTTCTGAGCTCTGGGTTCACTAAACACGCCTGAAGATATCTGGGAGAATCTCTCAGGGGAGATATTTTTAGTTACTCTGGTAAGCTCTTTAGACTTGGTGCATTCACATCCTATAAAGTCATGTGGCCTTACATTAAATGTAAACAGAGGGGCCGGCCCCGTGGCTGAGTGGTTAGGTTTGTACGCTCTGCCTCAGCAGCCTGGGGTTTCCCTGGTTCAGATCCTGGGTGCGGACCTACAACTAGAATATACAACTGTGTACTGGGGGCTTTGGGAAAAAGAAGAAAAAAGAAAAAGATTAGCAGCAGTTGTTAGTTCAGGGCCAATCTTTAAAAAAAAAAATGAAATATTAAAAAAAAGTAAACAAAAGGCTAAGCATGAGAGTGCAAAGAGCACAGGACTAGGCAGAGATCAAAAGACCCAAAGTCAAGTAGAACTCTGATCCTGTCTAGGTTACTGTGGACAAATTTCTGGGACTCACTTTCTTCTTGTATAAAGTGAGAGTTGGGCTAGAATGGAACCTAGGGTCCTTTACAGCTTTAATGTGTTTTTTTTTTTGTAGAGCAACAATAGGATTAAGAGGAGAAGAAGAGAAAGAGGGTGGACCCAGAAGGCCTCATTCTTAAACTACAAAGGCTCTGGTGACTGTGGGTTTCCCTCAGTGGCCGGTGTCTTAGCTGGTCCACCCCGTGCTTGGCTGTCTCTGACTCTTCCTCCTAGCCGATTGCTTTGAGCCAAAAAACCAAAGCCCCATCAGGTAGATCTGCCTCACAGCCCTCCTCAGTCCCAGAGAGGCAGCTGTCCCCATTCAGAGACACTAGCCTTTTCCCTAGGAATTAAAGGAATGTTAAAAAAAATCTCCCAGTCTCTGGAGACCTGAGGGAGTGACCAGTATACAAAGACCCATTGAGGAGTTGGAAGAGGAGAGTTACTGTCAGGCCTGGTTCATTAGCAGTGACGTGTAAACCGCTGTGATCTGCAGGGTGCAGGAGAACAGCGGTTTGAGTGTCGGGGGAAGAATCCATGTGATTGTGTTACAGCTACTGTTTCAGGCTGATGATTGAGTCAGCTTGTGGTGTTAATGACTCAACTTTATCTCCATGTCTGAATTGTGGCCTCTTATATACAGGCCATCTGATCAATCGAGTAGAAGTCAAGGGAAGAAAGAAATTCATCTTTCTCACTTTCCCTCCCTCTGCCACTTCCCAGCTTCCCTGTACGGTCCCCCTCCACTAATAGAACCTCAGAGCTGGGAAAGACTCTACAGACCTCTAGTGATTAGCATCTAACCTCCTCACAGGAACAGGAATGAACACCCAGATAAGGCCTTGCCCAGGTCTGCAGAGCTGGCCAATGACAGAGCCAGGGCTGTAGCCCACTTTTGTGACTCCAAGTCCAGGGCTCTTTCCACTAAGCCTATGTGATGGGCAGGAGATGACAGTGACCCCTCTGTGTGGGCCAGAAATATTCTTTCGTACCTTCTGGCAAGGAGAGCCCTGGACATGTGAAATTGCTTCAGGGGGTTTTCTGGTGACCACCTGTCTAGAGAAGGTTAAGAGTATTTCCTATGCCACCACTTATTCTCCCCCTACTTTTGTAAAAATAGGACAGGAATTATAATTAGGAGAGGTCAGACAATAATGAGTTCTTTAGGATAGTAATGATTGCCCCATCTGTCCTAGTTTCCTCTTCCCTAAGGAAGCTTATTAACAAGAGCACTTCCTCTTTAGTAGTAGTTCCTAGGCTGTGTTTTAGAAATAGCTTTTTCCAAATCACTAACATTTTCCAATTCACCTATACTAGTGTTATACGGTTGATGTGGCTGGTGTTTTTATCCTAGCCCACCCCTAACTTACAGGAATCTGGTCTCAGAGAGCTTTGACCAGAGTGTCAAGATTGTTCCCTTTTCCCCTCAGTCTGTGGGACTGTTCTCTTATGAGTTCATAATCCTCCCTGATACCACAGAGTCAAAATATATATCTGCTTCTGCAGCTACTTTCCCATAGTGTCTTTTTTTTTTGTTTTTTTTTTTTTGAGGAAGACTAGCCCTGAGCTAACATCTGCCACTCCTCCTCTTTTTGCTGAGGAAGACCGGCCCTGAGCTAACATCCATGCCCATCCTCCTCCACTTTATATGTGGGGCGCCTACCACAGCATGGTGTCCCAAGTGGTGCCATGTCCGCACCTGGGATCCGAACCGGTGAATCCTGGGCCGCTGAAGCAGAACGTGCGCACTTAACTGCTGTGCCACTGGGCCGGCCCCTCCCATAGTCTTAACAAGTCCCCATGTCAGGGAAAGGACAGGAGAGGTGACTTTGTCCAGATTGTTCAAACTGTTCAGTGTAATTGTGGCCCTGAAGACAGAGTGAAAGCCGGGATTCTTCGATTCTGTTGATTCTGTTCCCAGTTCCAATACGAGCTCTCTCATTTCTGATTCTCACCTTAGGCCACAATCATGTCCATGTCTACTGTACCTACTTTTTGGCTTAAAGAAGGAAGTTTTCGCCTTCTCCCCACCTGCCATTCACTCTTAGTTTTTATGAAATCTGTAATACATGAGAAGCTTTTTGAATCTAAAAAAAATCTAGAAACACTGCTTGATTAGGTACAGCTGGTATCTTCTTAGTTTAGAGGAAGAAACCAAAGAGAGAAGCAACTTAAGCCACATGTGAACTCTGACTTTTCCTGTGTTGCCCAGGACAAGTGTCCCTGAAGACCCAGGGTTCTTTCCTGGGTTCTAGAGTCAGAAATTATTTCAACACATACACACCCCTTGAGTCACACATGCACATATGGACACACACAAATAGTGGGGCAGTATTTTCTGAACTGCTGGAGACTGAATTCAGAAGAGCAGTAAAGTGATATCAAGCCACTGCCTTTTGAGACATGAGAAGTAGGCTCTTAGAGGAGGGAGTATTTCAGAAAAGAGCAGAAACTAAGTGGGGCTCAGGAAGATTTTGCTAGAGAGACTAAGAAGGAAGATAGGAGAAGCGTGTACATGTAGACCATCCTAGTCACACTCCTGTGGGCTCCTTTTCCTCCCATCAGTCACTGAGACAATAGTATGTGTTCATAATCCAAGGAGTGGTTTGTGTGGAACCCTGGAGTCTAGGTCACACACCTTCCACCTGTAACCAGATGAGAGCCCTGTGCCTGTCAGCCAGGGCCTTCACTATTCTTTCTCCTCTTTGTGCCCCTGGGAGGAGGAGGAGGAGGAGTCCTATACATTGGTAACCTGTAGGCATGTGTGTGCTCCCTGCTGACCTGTGGGTAGCACCTGCAGTGTGAACAAGTGGCTCTGGGTCACACTTCTGCAGAGAGGCTGACAGCCCTGGTGAAGACCTGGGCCCTCTGACCCTGTTTGGCTTCTGCTCTTCCTAATGCTTTTTGCTGGTCTGAAGAAGGCAAAGGTGTTCTGGGTGCTTTGTTCACTGGTTCCTCTGGACTCTTCCTGCCAGGTCTCACAGCTGCCCCGCCATGTAGCCTCCTACTCCCGTAGGAGTGCTGGGCTTCCTGCATCGTTCCCTGTTCATTAAGGCGGAGGCACTGCTTTCTCCTCTCAGCTTTCCCATGAATCAGCAACCTGTTTTTTTTTTTAATTGAGACATAAATCACATGCCTAAAATTCACCCTTTTAAAGTATACAATTTGTTGTTTTTTAGTATATTCATAAGGTTGTGCAACCATCACCACACTCTAATTCCAGAACATTTTAATCTTCCCAAAAAGAAACTCCATGCCCATAAGCAGTCACTCCCCATTCTCCCCTCCCCCAGCCCCTGGCAACCACTAATCTACTTTCTGTCTCTATGGATTTGCCCATCCTAGACATTTCATAGAAATGGAATTATAGCATATGTGGCCTTTTGTGTCTGGCTTCCTTCACGCCAGGCAGACAGCTCTCTGTGTACATGTGGTCTCTCTGTGCTGCTTCTAGGGCATGGGCAGAGGCAGACAGCATGAGATGGGCATGGTCCCAAGGAACTGCCTTCTTGTTGAGGATGCTGGGGCCATAAATCTGGATTCCATAAACGATTATGAGAGTCGTCGGGACAGCTCCCGGCAGTTAGAACAGAAACTCATGGATTGATTGGTTCCTCTTCCAATTTAGGATGACAACTAGAGCTTCACAGTTCCTTAGTCCATTGTGCTAGGTTTCTTTCTAGAGGGCTCTCCTGGCCATCCTTGACCCCAGCTCTGCCTTCTCTGATATACCTTTCATTGCCCCACCCCCACACACATGCACACATTACACACCTTGTTAGGGCTCTTGGCATTTGTATCTCAGCTGCTACCCTTTAAAAGGTGGGAAAGAGCTGGGCGTGTGGGCATCTGGGGAGAGGGTGGGAGGGTTGGTGGTGGAACACGTGGGAGTGTGACATGCACGTGATGTCAGTGCATGGCTGCTGCTCCTCTTTGCAGGCGTCCCCCCCGGCAGCCTGCTGAAGGCCTTCCTCTGCTTGGGACAACCCTCCCTGGGCTGACTGAAAGTGATTTTGACCTAGGAGCTTCCTGGGAAATGCCAAGAAAACAAAAATAATACTATTTGCTATGCTTGAGCCAATTTAATTCCAACAACTCTATGATGAGAAAACAGATTTTGAATATTTCCTGTTTCTTAAAGTTACATAGCTAACACTTGAACCCCGTTCTGTCTGTCTAGATGTATTCAAACCTTTGTACTATTTTTGCACAGGAAAGCAAGAGCAAGGCTTGCTCTCCTGCCTGCACCAAACTCTCTCATATTCTCTGCCCTCCCCTGAAAGGTATATTACACATATTCTTGGATCTCTGCACTGACTTCTTCAAAATAAGGGCCTCTGTGAACTGGACAGGGCAGCCATGTTTGCATGGCTTCTAGCTGAATGTCTGCTGGTTCAGTAGAATTTGAAAGGGATTAGAAACTGGGCCTTCTGTGGACAAGATCTCCTGTCTTCTCTTGCAGCCAACAGGAAGGCCGGGTGTGCAGTCACATCTCTGTTAGCCTCAGAGCTGACCAAGGACGATGCCATGGCTGTTCCTCCTGCGAAGGTGCCCAGAAACAGTGAGGGAGTGCCCACAATCCTTGAGGAAACCAAGGAGTTGGTTGGCCGTGCAAGCTAAATAAGCTGGGTCCTGTGGCCATGGCAGCTCCTCGGTGGAGCCCCAGACAGTCCTGCCCTGCAGCATGTGCCTAAAAAAGGATCACAGAGGTATTCCTCTGGGGTGGCTGCTCCCACCACCCTGACCCTGTCTTTTTCTCTGGCCTGCTGCTCTCTGTACATCACACACAGCTTCAGCTGCCTGGAGGCCAGAAGGAAAGGGCAGTGTGGGGGGAGGCCTGAGCCCAACCCAGCCAGCCCTGGCTGCTGTATTACCAAAGCAGGCTCCGTGTTTGCTGCCTTAACCCCAAGTGTCTCCTCTCTGTTACTCTCAGGCCTCGTCTCAGACAAGGCCCTGCCTGCTTTCTCAGCCCCTGCCTTTCCAGGGGGCTTTCCCCTAGGTCAATCTTGCTGGATTTGTGCTTTTCTTTTGTGGTTTCTCTGGCCCTGAGAACAGCATGGGGCTTGTGCACCTCTGGGCTGTCTCCCTCCTTTCATTGCTGCCACCTCTGCTCTGCCCTTTTCTCTCCTGGCTGTTGTTATTTATTACTACTGTCGTGGCACTGGGAGCTGCTTCTAAGGAAGTGGGGAGCAAATCCCACCCTCACCCCACCTTCCTAGGAAAGACCTCCTCAAACAAAAAGGACCTGGCCCACTTCATCTCTTCTGCAGTGGCCTAGGTCAGAGCCTGTGGGCAGGCAGGCAGGGCACAGAGACATTGTGGGACCCACCCCCAGCCTGCTGCCATGCTTTACACCCCAGCCTCTCTGGACCCTCTGCACCAGCCCCAGGCTACTGAGCCACGGTCCCTCCTCACACCTCCCCGGAGCTTTGGTGCATCTCATCTGGACTACGGCTGTATTGTGACCATCCCAACACCTCACCCTCTGTCTCCAAGGAAATGGGAGGTTGAGCCTCCTGGCTGAGAAATTGTTTTGCAAATGGATCTATTTTTATATGAGATTTTTTTTTTAAAGAAAAATAACTCTTCCTTCCCCCTTCCCCTCCATAATGTAAGAGGCTTTGATGGCAGGTTCCAGAGTCCCTGGGATTCCTCCCCACAGGCCCCAATCCTGAATGAGCACCTGGACCTCCACCTCAGCCCTCAAGCCTTCTGGGGCAGGAGGACGCTCTTCTCTGGTTGAGCTGGACCAGGTCTAAGAGTAGTGGGAGCTTTGAGACCACAGAGTTTTTATAAATTTAATATATTTATCAAGCCAAATGTGCAAATGCTAACTGGACATTCTGGAGAAGTGGGCATAGGGAGTACCCCCCCACACACATTGTACCCTGCTCCCTTCTGAACAGGGGCAAGCCAAACTGTTTGGTGCCCCCAGCCACAGGAAGCTGAGATTCTCTGGCTCAAGGTGACAGTTTGCCCTCCTTATGCTCTTTTGAGTCCCTTACCCCCTTCCCCCTCGGGTGGGAAGAGAGAATGGCACTGTTAGGGCTTGGCCCAGATTATAGTTGTTAGAGCAAGGGGGAGCTTAGGAGGCCTAAGGGCGCCTGCAGGGAGGCCTTGAGACCAGGAGGGAGGTTCTGGTTGCCAGAGCCTGTGTGTGAAGGGGCAACAGCAGCTCCTTTGAACTATTCCCGGGAAGACTGTGGTTCTGGGGGGCCTGCTGCTCCCCTGGCTCCCCTCATTTTCCCTGCTGACATCTGGGGCTTTGACCCTTTCCTTTTTTAATCTACTTTTGCTAAGATGCATTTAATAAAAAATTTTAAAAAGGGACAAAATGCAAACCTATTTCCCTCGCCTCTTGGCCTTCTGGGATGTCATCACCTCCAGTTTGTTGGGTTTGTTTCCAACTGTTAATAAACCATTGAGACAGTAACGCCTTACAGCCTCCTTTGTGAATTTCTGAGCTATTTTCCTTTCACTCTTGTCCAGGCTCCTCTACTCTTGTCTTGCTTCAAATCCCTGATTGACTTGGCAAATCATTGTCCCAAAGTTTAAGGTCCCCATTATGTGCCAGACGCTTTGGCTGGGTGCAGGGCTAGAGATGATTGATTAATATACCGTGGTTTCTGCGCTGCCATTGGCCCCTCATAAAGGAGTAGGGCCCCAGTTCAGCCTCCTTGTCCTCCTGCGTTGCTGCCTCTTGGTTTAGAACCCTTTTGTTGAACTCAGTTCTAGCTCCCCGCCTCCCCATGCCCCCCCCCCCCCCCCCCCCCCTCTGTTTCCTGGCAGTACCTGTGCCTCTTTTACTGAGGGAAGCATCTGACTCCCATTCTCTTGCCCCGCCCCACCCCACCCCACCCCACCCCGTTTGGTGGCTACAGACCACATTCCAGAGTAGAGGGGCTTGCACTGGGGTGGAAACCTGAACCTGCCCAGCAGAGGTCAAAAGCCAGAGGTCACGCTCCAGATGACTTGCTACTCCGAGCCATACTTGTTTGAGCACGTTGTGACCTGCACAAAGAAACCTTACAAGCTATGAGCAGGCCCAGAATAGACAGGGAGGGGCTTGGAGAGGACCACAAACCCATTTGGCCAGGCTCTGGAACTGAAAATAAAAGCCTTTTAAATAGCCCTGGAGCCTGGGCAGCTGCCTCCCCAGTATGGCTGGGGATATGGGGGTGGGCTGCCTGCCTCCTCCCTCCCTACCCCCGAGGCCACGCGTTTCTGGCTCAGAGCTTTATGGGCACACATACCAATTAGGGGACCAACCACAGCTGCTCACGCGCTCTGCCAGTCTACTGCCGTGCCTGGAATAGAACCCAGGTGCCCAGCACCCCGCCCTCTACAGCCTGGCTCTCAGAAACAAAACCTTGCTTCCATCTCAGCAAAGGCATACACCACTCTTTCTCCCACCCAAGAAAGTCGCCCCCAGATGCTTAGCTGGAAGGTTTGGTTTCCATGACAACACACTTCGGGAACTGGCAGAATGCAGGACCCGGCTCTCAGAGACTCCGCAGAGAGGAAGTCCAGAGACAGCCTCCTCCCGCCTGCGGTTGGGCTTACCCTCACTGACCCTCCCGTTAACCCCAGTGGGTCTCTCTTTTCTCTCTTTCTTCCGCCCCTCTCGGTCTTCCCTCCCCCTCTGTGTTTCCTGCAGCCCGTCTGGCTGCAGCAACCTCAGAATCCCACTGTGCCTCGAGGAGGCAGCCGGGAGGAGGCGGGGAGATGGGCTAGCCCAGGAGTGAGTGGAAAAGCACGGAGTGGGGAGAGACGGAGGAGGGCGGGCGATCTGGGTCTGCAGGCAATCTCTTTTCCTGCACGCCTTTTCAGTCCCTTTGACACGCCCCGCAAGAAGACGATGAAACCAACAATTTCCTTGGCTTTGCTGCGGAGAGGCGAGCGGGAAGGGAAACTGAGACCAAGCTATAGACTCGGCTTTCGGAGAATCGCCTCCAACATTCCCTCCTCCTACTCCTGCGGTGTTCCCAAACCCCCCGAGGCAGCGGAGGCAGAGGGGGGCGGGCAAATGAGAGGCCACCCTCCTCTCGCGAAGCCCGCGAGGGCGCTCCGGGGTGGTAATTTTAGCGGGGAAGGGGCGGGAACTAAGGAAATATCCGCCAACCTCTCCAGCCCTGTTTGCTGCGCGCCAACCCCCTCCCGCCCCCGCGCCCGCGCCTCCTCTTCTGCCTGGAGACTGGCGCTTCGAACCGGAACGGAGACAGCCGCAAGCATACAACTGCGCACTCAATTGCACACACTGATAGCCGCGCTCAGGGATCCCCTCCCCCACTACGAACCCGCTCGTCGATTACACACCACGGTACACAGATCCACAAGCACAGTTACAGTCAATCGCACGCTATTACCTATGCACAACGGTGTTCCAAGCATGCACAGTCACATTTGACAGTCATACACAGACTCCTCAGCAATGACACAAAACCAGGACGCAAACACAAGCATCCCTCCCCATCCCGCTTCTCTTTCAGCATACACTTCTCAGCTCATCACTTCATCCACACATGCCAGGAGCCTACATCTCTTAAACAGAAACGTTCAACCTTTCAGAAGAAATTTTTTAATTTTTTTCAAAGAAAAAAAGCCATATAAATATTAGAGTATAAAACTTGCGTGAGACAGGAAAGGAGTGGGGTGGGGAACTACGTGACTATGCGAAGAAAAGCGCTTATAAGAGTCAGTACGCGGGAGGGGATCGCCGCAGCGTGTGGACACAGCACAAAACACAGCACAGGCCGCCGCAGGCGGAATCCGGGACAGACGGCTGCGCGGACGCCGCCCGCTGCCCATTCGCCATCACGGAAAAGCACACCACACTACACTATTGGCTATTCTACACCAGCCGAAAGAGGGGGGGGGTGCTCTACGCTACTGTAAGGGCTGGGGTGGGGTTCTCGCGCAGCCCCGCTGGATGAACGGGACTCCGGGGCAGAAGAGGGTGAGCAAAGGAAGGTCTATGCACAAGGAGGCACTGGGGGACTTTAACCAGGCTCTGGCCACTAGGGGGCGGACTGGGGGCCTGGGCAGTGGCCTTCACAGAGAAGAAATGGCACCTGGCAAGGTGAAGGACCGAGGCTTGGGGAGTGCAGGGGCCCCGTGGAGAAGCCCTGATCCTGGACTGAGACTTTCTGTCCACTTGGTCCCTGCTCTAGCTCCTTGCCTCCCCAACCCAGGGACCAAGAATGGCCTAGCGGGCCCTCCCTTCCTGCTGGGACCACACTGATCCTTCCTTCCACCAGCGGCACCTCTGGAGTACCCAGCACCCACAGAGGCCCCTCTGACCTCTCCAGGGGACCTGGTCCCAAACCTGCTCAGAGCTTCCTTGGACTGTAATGCCAGTTTAAATCCATTGGTGCTGGTAGCTCAGCACAAAGCTGACTGTCTGGGCTGAGCCCTGCATGTGGTGGATGAGGATCCAGCCTGGTGCTTGGTTTATGGCTGGAATTTGGGGATCTGGTCAGAACCCTGGGGGCATGCAGAGCCTCCTGCAAGACCCAGTAACTGATGGGTCAAGCTTCATCCATTCCCCCATCCACATACACACCCTTCCCTTCTTTATCTTACCATCTCATACTGTCTTGGAACATGCAGTGGAGTCTCTTGTTTGGGGAGAGGGAAGTCACAGCATGCAGTGGGAACGTCAAACAATGGAAAACAAAACAAAAGACTGGTCCCCAGGGCATTGGGAAGAGGCATGGTAGCAAAATGCCCTCCCTAAATCCAGCAAGCATCAGTACCATGGAAATGGTGACCATATTTCCCAAAACTTGAGCTTAGTCTCAGGCTCTGGAAGGAGGTGAAGGGACTGGCACCAAACCATGCTTTGGGGGGATTTGAGAATTGAAGGAGAGGCCAGGAGGTCATGATGCCCTTCCAACTCTTCAGAACTATGAGCCTTTTTAGGTCACCTGGAACCTCAACACCCCAACCACTTTACTCAACAGAGAGGAGCTGTTGAAGGAGTGGGGTGGGCTGGGATGCGTAGGAATGAGGCAGGGGATGGATGGGCCTGATTGAATCTGGAAGATGGAGGAGTTCAGCTATAACTAAAGGGGGTGTGATAAATGGTGTCTACACTAACCCCACTACCCCCATGGGCACAGCAATTGATTGGATAGGGGTTCCCAGCAGAACTCCCTTTGCATATTCAATCCCCTGGGGGCAGAGAGGGGGGTGTTGACTGGGCACTTGTTTCTGTTTCCCAAGGGGAGCATGGCCTGGGCCCCTACCAGTATCCTGGGGTGAGCCCTGAAAATCCGAGGCCTGGGTACAGGTAGGGAGAGGCTGGGCTGGTTGGGGAGGGAGGCTGCCCTGTGGCTCCGGGTCTGGCCTCCACATTATTTCTTCTCCTTCTTGCCCGACTTCTTCTTGTTGCCATTGCCACCGGCCGGTGCCTTGCCATCCCGCTTGCCAGCTGCGTTGGTCAGTGTGGCATTGCTGCCAGGGATGTAGACGTTCTGGCGGTAGTCGGGCACGTGCTGCAGGGTGAACTGGGGCCCATAGCGGGCACTCAAGCCCATGGTGCCGGCACCTCCTCCCAGGGTGGAGCTCCCATCAGCGGCTTCTGCAGAGACAGAGAAAGGTCAGGGGCTAAACTTCCGGTCCCCAACAGTCACTCTCTTATAGCACAAGCAGTTACTGAATGCCTACAAAGCAGCCTGCCCTGACCAGGCCGAGCACTGGAAATATGGGCTCCATCCACAAAGTGTGGAGGTAAGAGGTCCAGGGTGAGACAGCCTAGGTTTCATTCCTAGCTCTTTTACCTACTAACTGTGATCCGGGGCAAGTCTACCTCACCGCTCTGTCTCCTCAGTTTTCTGATCTGTGAAATGGGGATAATAATAGTATCTACCTCTTTTGGTTTTGGTGAAGGCTCACCAAGATTATGTATGTTAAGCACCTAGAATGGTGCCTGCTGCGTGGTTAAGGGCTGAACACACGCTGGCTGTTATTTCTCTCAGGGCTGAGACAGTGGCTGTCAAATCCCAGTCCTTCTCAAGGGAGCCTGTGGTTCCCACACTAGCCCACAGGCTCTGGGGGCCGCGACCATGGTTTGTGCACCCTCCTACCCTTCTCAACCAGTGCTGGGCACGGAGCAGGCATTTCGTAGTCCTGTCAGTTAGGAAGGGTGCTCTCCCAGGCCTTCCTTTCATAACAGCAGTTGATGCCTACTCTGTGTCACGCACTTTGCTAGATGTTGCACATGCTTGATGGCCTTCAACCTCAATGCAATAACCCAGTGAGGTAGGTGGTATTATCCCCACTTTACAAATGAGGAAAGCAAGGCTCAGAGGAGGTAAAAGACTAGCCCAAGGCCATATGAGCCCGTGCAGGCTGGAGCAGGGGTGAGGCCTAAGTGTATCGCAACGGATGATGTAGGGTGTTGCCCCTGCCACCGCGTGGCAGCTGGGGCCTCCTCACTGCTCTGAGGGTAAAGCAGGTGGGAGAAGATGAGATGAGCTGATGAGCAGTGTTCTGTGAGGCTGAGAAGACAACGATCCCGGGGGGCCAGATATCTTAGGTACAACGTAGACATAGGCTTCCGGTGCTAGAGTGAGGTGACATCAGACAGCACCTCCAGCCCACCTTCCCGCTGTGCATGTGAAGAAACAGGGGTCCAGAGAAGTACGAATTCTGGCCCTAGCTCAGCATCACCTGGGAGTCGTTAGAAAAGACTCTCAGAGTCTGCATTTTAACAAGATCTCCAGGTGATTGGTATGCACATTAAAAGTGGAGAAGCACAGAAGTCCCTACCTCAGTGGGTTTCTGAGGCTTAACTGAGACGGTGCTTCACCCAGTGCCCAGGCACTTGGTAAGTGCCCACGAAATGTTAGCTGCAGCCATTATCATCCTCTTCATCATCATCCTCACCACACAGTGTGTCATTACTTCTACCCTGCGTGCTCCCTCACTGGGGGCTGGATCAAGAGTTCTCTGGCTGAGATCACAAGGGATCCTGCTGGCAGCGAGAGGGTTAAAGCCCCAGGAATGCCCAGCCCAACCAGCAGAAGAGCTCTCCTCCCGGCCTCCTTCTACCCCCACCCCAGACCCTGGGAGTGGACAGAGAGGGTGACTAAAGCCGAGAGGCTGAGTAATCCTGGGACTTTAACCAGGGATTGAGAAATAGAGAGACAGGAAATATTTTCAAAGAATGGCACAAGAAGGGGGAGGGACATAAGAAAAGGAAAGGAGAGATGAGCCTCGATCCTTCCGCCTCCTCCCTCCAGAGCTCAGGTTTCTAAACCATTTCAAGTCCCAAATCCCAGGATCTGAGGGTTTGGGGAGGAGAGAGGGGGGAGGGGGCGGGAAAGAGGAGTTGGAGGGGAGGGAGCAGCTGCCCACTTCCTTCTCTCCTCCCCGTGGCTGGTCCCCTCCTCCAGCCCCTTCATTCCACCGACATTTCTGTTTTCCCTAATTAACTCCAGGAGTGAGCTGGGTCCTCCACTGCCCACCCCTCCCCTCCAGCGTTCCCTCTTCCAGCCTGGGAATGGAGGGTTGGGGGGAGGGCCCCCCCTCCAGCTTCAAAGAGCTGGGATTCCAGAGTGATTTAGGAGCTAGAGGGGAGACCTCAGAGGCGCCAGGGAGAGAGAAAGAGAGACCTATACACACACAGAGAAGACAAAGATGAGGAAATGGGGAGAAACAGGGAGAAGAGGAAGAAAGAGAAAAATAGGGAGGGCTTAACTGGGTAAGTGGAAGCCAGGCTCGGAGGAGCACCCAGAATGGGTGAAAATGACAAAGCCAGCCCCTGCCACCTCCTCCCCAGCAGCACAGACCTGATGTTGGTGTGAAGTTGTGCTGGCCCAGGAGGGAGAAGATGTGGAAATACAGAGTGTAACTGAAAGAGGCTGACACTTGAGTTCCGTCTGGCCAGCTCTGCCACTAAGGAGCAGTGTGACTCTGGCTGAGGCCCTGCGTGACTCAGGCCTCAGTTTCCCTATCTATAACTGAGAGGGAGAAGTTGGAATGCAGTCTCTGACCTTCCGTAGAACGGAGAATCAATTTCTCCAGCGGCCCCTCCTTCCACCCCTGCCAGACCCACATCTGCAGGGACGAGGATCTTCCCTTAGTCCAAGGAGAACAGACTTTGAAAAGCAGCAAGAAAGAAACTGGGCAACCTCTGGCCGGGAGGAGGTGCAGTGGTGCGGGCCTCCTCTCCTGTGCCAGCATCCCCTCAGGGTAATGGGCCCCAGGGCACCATGTCCTCCCCACCACACACACACCCCCACCTTTCCCTCCCCTCCACAGCCCAGGGCTGAGGCAGCAACTCCAGAGCAGCCCAGGGAGGCCTGGTCAAGCCAGACCAGAGCCAGCTGAACTGCAAACCACAGCCTCCTTGAGAGCACACCTCCTCCCAGAAGTTTATTTTAAAAGCCTCCCAAGTGTACTCACTCTCCCTCTTACTTACTCCCCCTCAGCAGCCCCACAGGCCTGCCTGGGCTGGACTCCAGGAACCTCTTGGCTCCAGGGCCGGGAAGCGGGTGTGAAAGTGAGAGTAGGGTCTGACCCCGCCACCTCAACCCTCAGGGGCCATTCCCCAAGGCCCCGTGTGGGCCAGAAGGGTGGGGCCCTGACAGGAGAGCCAGATTGCAGTGACCCAGGAGGGTTTTGGGCCATAAATACTGATTCCATTTCTGTTTTTCAAATCTGGATTTAGGCTGAGAAGTCTGCTTCCTGGCCTTAGAGCTCGAGACCACAACAGCTAAACATACCTGCCTGTCTGTTTATTTCCCTCAAGAACCCAACTTAGCATCTCCCCAGGCCTGGCCGCCTGCCTCTTTCAGATTCAGCATCTGGCCTCTCCAGAGTTTGAGCCCCCCAGACCTGGGCCAGCTGTGTCCCAGCAGGCTGGCCACCCCTGCCACTTCTCCCTCCCTCTGCCCCTTCACCAACCACAGGAATGGCCCCACTCAGCCTCACAGCCTTCTGGGAGAGGCTTGCCAGATTTAACAAATAAAAATGCAGGGCACTCAGTTAAAGTTGAATTTCAGGTAAACAAGAGCCATTTTTTAGTATAGTATGTCCCAGCACGCACCTTTGGGACCTACTTCTGCTAAAACATTATTTGTTGTTTGTTTGAAATGAAAATTTAACTGGACATCCTGTATTTTATCCGGCAACCCTAAGCTGGGAGAATAATGCAGGGCAGTCAGAGGAGTTCAGCCTCCAGACCTATTCCACTAAAAGGGAAACTGAGGCTGGATCTAAAGGCAGACGTGATCACTGTAGTAGAAAAGGGGGTTGGGCTGGGCTAGAATCACCAACGTGCAGCTCAAAATGGGGCCTTGGAGCAAGCAATCTCTCAGTTTTCTCATCGGTCAAGTGTAAGGAGTCAGACTCGCCTGGCAGAGCGAGGGAGAGGAGTCACTCACGGGAGGCCCCTACAGTTTGTCTAGCACACGCCCAGGATGAGGCACAGGCATGATTATAGTGAGTGGGGTTCTGATTCTACCTGATTCTCTGCCCACCAGCCCTCCAGATGTGCTGGAGGGTAGGTCACTCTGTAAGGCCAGTGCCTTAATCCGCTGCCAGCCGCCATATAAGCCCCAGGATTTGCTGCTCCAGAAGCCAGTCCTTATTAATAGGCATTATTCTAATTCTGCTTTCTGTAGGTCAGAAAAGATACTAATTAATCAATTTTAGCCACTGTGTATCGTGCCCTTACTTTCTGCTGATCCTGTGCTGAGGCCTTACATTTGGCCCTCATGACGCCACAGTGAGATCTATTGTCATTGTACCTATTTCACAGTCAGTGAAACTAAGGCCCAGAGGGGCTTAGTGACTTGCCTGAGGACTCACAGCTAAGTGGGGGGCACCAGGATTTGAGTCCAGGTTGCCCTTCCTCCAAAGCCTGTCCTCTTAAGTACATGATATTATTCTGCTTCCCCTGCTGAGGACCCTTGTGACTCTTCAGGGACAACCACCAACAGCTGAATCTCTATTGCGTGTAAAGTTCTCTCTTAGCCTTGTGGGGAAACCAAAATCCTGCTCTGGAGGTGGGGGCTACCAAAAAGAAAGGGGGTCTCACACATCCAGAGTGTTCTCTCTGCTGGGAGAATCCACAACCACTTCCATGGATGGAGGGCTTGTATGTGTCTGGCCCAGTACTCCGTGTTTGATGGGATCATCTCATTTCATCCTCACAACAACCCTTTTTCTGGGCTGAGGAAACTGAGGTTTAGTGAGATTAAGCAAATTGATCAAATTCACAAAGATAGTAAGTGGCAAAGCTTGGACCCAACCTATGCTCTCCCCCTTCCATAGTTAGACTCATAACAACTACTCCCCACATCTTCTTGATGGATCTTTCCTTGTTCACTCCCCTCTGGGCATCCCAGGACCCCCAGTCCATCATCTGTTCCCTGACCTGGCTTTATGACCTGGAATTATGGGTCCTCTCAGAGCAGCTGAAAGATCCAGAGAAACCATGCAGGTTGATAGCCACTTTCAGGGCATGGTGGCTGTGGGATGTCCCAGAACCCCAGGTCTTCCATCCCAACACACATATTGGCACAACTTACCACTGGCAGAGGCCAAGATCATGGCTTGTAGCATCTCTGTGTCAAACTGGTTGTTGGGCCAGGTACCGGTTTCATCGCCATTTTGGGAGCTGGGGAGAGAGTGGGATGGTGAGCACGATGTCCCAGGCTAGCCCAGCTCATGCCCCTCCTGTCCTGTTCCAGGGCTTCCAGATCTAGTACCCTATCCCCACCCCATGCCCAAGACCTGCTCCCTTTCAACAAGATAGGAGGTAGCTTATACAATCCTTCAGAAGCCAGACCCCCATGTGTCAGTCCCCAAACCAGCTCTGTCCTGTCTCAGACACCAGGGCCCTTGGAGGGATAGAGCAGGAGAAACTGCAGCTTGCTCCCCATGAGAGGGCAGTGGCTCAATGTCACAGCCTCACACACAGCAAGGGAGGTCAGGCCCTCCCCTGAGGGCAGTGAAGGTGGGAAGTGGGAGAAAATGAATCAGAGCCCAGAAAGGGGTGAGGACTAGAGAGAAGCAGGGGGAGAGGGAGGGAGCCTGCAGGGACCCTGGAGCAGGGAGAGGTCTAAAACTGAAATCTGATCACTTCCACGGCTTGCTAAATCCTCAGGGCACAGAAGGACCCGCCCCTCCTATTTTACAGGAACACCTCCAGCTCTGTTCCCAAACATTCTATCATCACCTCTTTTCTGAGGCACTTCCCTAGTTCCTCAAGCTCTCTCTTACAGCGACTCCCAGGCAGGTACTGGTCTCTGGAACGCCAGTTCCCACCCTCTGCCTTGGTAACAAGAATAAAATTTGTCAGAGCCATCCCTAAGCGCCCCCAGGCTGAGTCAGGTACCCCTCCGTGGCAGTTCTGGTCCCCTCCACCCCCCCCCACCCCCACCCCCCGTTACTGGGTACTGCTGTTGTCCCTGTCTGCTCCACCAGGACTGTGTCTGCCTGCTTCCTATAGAAGCACCTAATTAAGACCTTTAGACGCTCTAAGCTTTGAGAAAAACATGAAGTGATTCCCAACTGTTAAAAATGCAAACCTGTGAAAGAACCCTAAGGAATTCCAACCCAACTGAGATTTTTCCCATAGCGACTATTTCCATGTTCTTTTGGAATTTTCAAGGATCAAATCATTTCCATTTTTGAGGGGAGAGGGAAGCACCCTGACAGGCACGCAGTCTCTTAGGTGACCCGTGGCACCATCTGGCACACCGAAGTTCCTCAATAAATGCTCGTGGTTGAACGTAGCGGGAAAGGCCCGGAGAGTCAGGTCACTATGCGGTAAGAAGGATTTGGCACCAGGGAAGGGGCTGCAGGGCAGGCCTGGAAGGCATGCAAGCATGTGTTCGCGAGCGCATGTGCATGTTTTGTCATGGTGGGTGGGCACAGCCAAGAACTGCTTTACAATTTTCCCCAGGTCTGTCCCCGCTTATGGTTTCCTTCAACCTGGGACTCCCCACCCCCAGGTAGGCGGGCTCAGTCCAAGGCTCAGATCAGAGCCCACAGCTGCTGTGTGCGCCCTCTGTGCCGTCACAGCAAACGCAGAGTTAGGTTGGAGGGGGAAGCAGGAGTCTCATTTCTTCCTCCGCAGAGGTGGAATTCTGTGTCCATTTACTCAATCAATATTTATTGAGCAATTACTGGGCACCAGACACTGGGCTAGGTGCTGGGGTTAAGGCTGTGAACATGACTGAAATAGTCGGTCTCTACAGTGCTCACAATCTATATTGAGAGGCTGATATTAAATAATCAGGGCCTGCCCGGTGGCTCAGCGGTTAAGTTAGCACGTTCTGCTTCTCGGCGTCCCGGGGTCCACCAGTTTGGATCCCAGGTGTGGACACGGCACCGCTAGGCATGCCATGCTGTGGTAGGCGTCCCATGTATAAAGTAGAGGAAGATGGGCATGGATGTTAGCTCAGGGCCAGTCTTTCTCAGCAAAAAGAGGAGGATTGGCAGTAGTTAGCTCAGGGCTAATCTTCCTCAAAAAAAATAAAATAAAATAAAATAAGATAGATAATCATACAATTATTTAATTGCAATTGTGACAAGTGCCATGGTGGCAAAGAGCAGGAGGTCCAGGGGAGTCCTGACTTAGTCGGGGTTAGGAGCTCAGCCAGTCCAGGCTTCCCTACCGAAAAGACAGGGAATTTAAATCTGAGGAAATTATCCAGGTGATTTGGAAAAGAATCCCAGCTAAACAAATGTAGGAGGAACAATAGAAAATCACCGCTTGGTAACCACCGATATATAAAAACAGATTCAGGCTTCCCAGTCTCAAATATCACCTACAGATTACTTCGTAATCACAAATATTTTAAAATAGCTTTGTAATAGAGAGATCTGGGGACCACTCTAACCGCGTGAACAAACTGAACATCACTGATGATAGGACAGACTGACGTGAAGTGATTCCCGATGTGATGCAGTGGGAGTACACGATGCCACCCACGCAGTATTCTCTCCAAGCCTGTTTCCCCTGAATCTCGCCACGCGAAAATGATCGGGTAACCCAGACTGTGGGACATTTTAAAAGACAACTGGCCTGGACTCTTTAAAAAATGTCTATGTCATAAAAAGGAAACAAAAAAAGGTAAGGAGGCTGTTTTAGATTAAAGGAGATGAAAGCGACATGGCAAATGCAATTCATGCTCCTTGACTGAATCCTGGAGTTAAAAAAAAAAAAAAACAGGTTAAAAGGACATTTGGGGATCATTTATGAAAATCTACTAGTGGACTGCATATTATTGCATTAGTGTTAAATTCCTCAAATGTGATCATTCTTTTGTGGTTATGTATGAGGGTATTATTGTTATTAGGATATATATACTGAAGTATTTCAAATGTTATGATGTTTGCAACTCTCAAATGGTTCAGGAAAAAAACGGTGTATGTGTGTAGAGAGAGAGAAAACAAATGGGCAAAATATTAATACTTGATGAATCCAGGTAAAAAGAATATTTGGATATTCATCATACTATTCTTTCAACTTTTCGATAGGTTTGAAACATTTCAAAGTAAAAAATTGAAGGGTAAAATTAAATTATCTTGGAGAAGGTGCAGCGTTGTGGGAGAGAGCTCCAGGCAGGGGGAGCAACAGGCCCTGAGCTTCTGAGGCTGGGAGGAGCCTGGCCAATTCAAAGGACTAAGGGAAAGCCAGCGTGGCTGTCACAAAGGGAGGTCAGGTCAGGGGCTGGGGCTGCAGAGTGGACGCCAAAGATTTTGGTCTCATCCTAAGAGCTCTGGGAAGCCACTGAGGTGTTTAAAGGGGACGGGGTGGGGGTGGGGTTGTCATGATAGGAGTTAAATATTCAAAAGTCACCCTTGCTCCTGGGAGAGGACTCGGGGTTGAGGATACAGACATCTGGGAGGACAGGAGCCCAGTGATGGGGCCTCAGCCGCCTCTGTCTCCATGAAAATCCAGAGGTCGTTCCTTGCAGCCCTGCTGAGCTCTCCCTGGGCCTGCCTGAGGGCTCAGGGATGAGGCAGGTGGGCTCAGGCCCAGGTGGGGATAGAGTGGGGAGAGGAGGCGGAGGGGGGCGGCAGCCGGAGAAGAGCTTTGGGGCTGTGGGGTAGACAACAGGGTCAGAATCCAGGTTAGGAGGACGCCCTGTCGGGGGTGGGTAGTGGTGTTGAGGGAATAAAGGTGAGTGGGAGGGAGGGCCTGGAACCATGGGCTGGGCTGTCAGGAGGATTCTTGGGAACTGTTGAAGGCTGGAGATCAAGCACATGGGCAGCCTGCCAGCTCTTTGAAGTTGGGCAAGAGAGAGTGTAGGGGGAGAAACTTCTTTTTGAACCATTTACTGAGAGCTTCCTATTCTCTGGGTTCTGCGCTGAATAAATTATATGGACTGTCTATTTCAGCGCCAGAACCAGCCGCAGATAAGTGTTATGATTATTCTTATTTGCCAGCAGATGAACTCGGGGCTCAGAGAAGTTGAGAGACTTTCCCAAAGTCACAAGCTGGTAACGGGCAGAGCTGCAACCTGAAAGAGGCCTAACGGGACTCCAAAGCCTACGTACGATCCTATAGGCGACAACATACGGGGCTTCAGCAGGGATCAGGGACTCTCCTAGGGTTTGAGGAACAGTGAAAAATAACAGTGGAGGGGATGGCCTATATCCATTTGACCACTTTCCAAGTGCCCCCTGGGTACCAGTGTCTGTGACAGGCCCTAGGGTTTAGGGACAGAGATACAGTTCTGGCCCTAAGGAGTGTGGGTTCTGGCGTGCAAGGTGTGAGGGTGAGGGAGCACCTCAGAGGCTGGACTGTGGTCAGATGCCCCCTGCATCATGCTCAAAAAAAGGAGAACTCTAGGAAGGCACCCTGGACAACAGCCTGAATTTAACTGGCTTAAAATATAAATGCCTCTGTATTTTTTTAACATCGTAAAAGCCTATCAGCATTTTAAAATATATGCATGTGTCCATATGAGGGGCTGTTATGCAACAATTAAATGACTTCTGAAGAATTTTTTACTGACATGGGGAAATTCTCATGATATATATGGCAAAGAGAGAAAAGAACAGGCTATAACACTGATGGAAAGTATGACCTCGATTACTAAAAAAAAATCCCAAACTGGTGAGAAATATACCAGCCTTGACTAGGAATGAAAGTTCTTGATATTCCGTGAAAAAGTTTGTGAACGATTTATTTAGGTGAATCAAATTTAAAAAAGAAAAAGAAGAGGAAGAAGCCTGTGCATGCTGACTACACAAAGAAAAGGTCTAGAAATATAAATAGGAAAATATTAAAAGAGCTTAAGAGATTTGAGGTGCTCAAAAAAATACAAAATGTGGGCCTTCATTTGGATAAGTATGCAAAAAAATGAACAGAAAGAGTGAGATAGACAATTGGGGAAATGTGAATACTGACTGGCTATTTGAAAACATTTGTTTATTAATATTATATTATTTATTATTAATATACTAATTATTAGTTTGTTAATGCTATTTTTGGTACATATGTGTTTAAAAAAAGAATCACCTGTTAAAGATAGTGAAGACTCAGATGAAATTATATGATGGCTGAGACTTGCTTCAAAATAACTCAAGGGAGGACGGGAGTGGAGATAGAAGCGGAACGAGGTAAGGCATTGGTCGAAGCTGGATAGTGGGATCGTAGAGGTTCATTATACCATTCTTACTGCTTTTATACAGATTTGAAATGTTCCATATTAAAAACAATGTTAGTGGTGGTTTCCCTGGGTTGTGAAATTAGAGTTCTTTTTCTTTTAATTTTTTTCTCTATTTCTCATGTTTCTATAGTGAGCATGTATTCTTTTAAAAGCTGAAAAAAAAACAAGTTTCTATTTATTTGTTTGTTGAATGACTAATCAAACTGAGGAAGAGCAAGGAGAGGTCTCTCAGAGGAGGGGGAATAGAAGGGAATCCAGAGTTGGGGAAGGGTAGTGTTGAGCCATCAAAGGAGAACAGAGTAGAGACCAGAGGAAGCCAAGTGGAGACTCTCTTCTCTGTGCAGAGGTGGGAAACAGCTGCAGGGTGGAGCCTGGGTTACAGCCTGAGAAGGGAGAACTGGCTTGCTGGATTCAGAGCTTGAGATAACAGCTGTTGGGATAAGAAGCCAAAAGGATGACCTGAGAAGGGATATTGGTGGGGAGGTAGAGCACCTGGCAGGCAGGGACTTAAGAACGTGAGTCTTTTTCCCTTTTGTCTAGGAAATGTGACCCAGTGCTGACTTGAACTTGAATCAGGTTTACTGAAGAACTCAACACTAGCCCTGCTCTGAACCTGGTGTGCCACTAGCCAAGATGGTGGGGAGGGAGTGGGGCAGAGAAGCAGTGGAGGGCTGGAACCAGGGTTAGACTGAATAAAAGAAATCTCCCCTCTTCATCTTCTCACTCCAATTTACTCATCAAAATGGCAGCAAAGAAAAAACTCCCTGTCGTTCTGTTGATCCTAAGGGACCTCACCACAGGGCCTTTGCATATGCCCTTCCCACCACCTGGAATGCTCTTCCCTCTTTCCTTCAGCTGGTTAATTCATATTCATCTTTCAGATCTCAGCATAACTCATTTCCTCCTGGATGTCCTCCTGCTCCCTGACCAGGTCAAATCCCTACTTTACGCTCTCACCTCCAGGCACTGCTCTTCATAGCACTTATGATACCTGCCACCTTACATCTATCTTTTGTGATTATTTGATTAATATTTGTTTCCCTCAACACACTGTAAACTTCTCGAGGGCAGGAACTATGTCTCTTTTACATCTCCTACACCTAGAGTACTACCTGGCCTACAGTAGAGGCTTACTAACTGTTTATTGAATGAATGAAGGAGGGGGGGTGCCAGTGGCTGGACTGGGCCCTGAATACTTATTTCATCTGGGCCTTTGGAGCTAAATCAGAAATGTTTGTCTCACACCCCTCAAGTTAACTAAGGAAGGGAGTGTTCCTGAGCCTTCTCCAGCTGCCAAGAGCTCCTGCGTGCATTTCAGGCCACCAGGTCTCTCACATGATGAGGGGGGACTTGAGGCAGAAGTAAGGTCCTCAACCCAGAGGACACCTCAGAGGAACTGGAGGGGCTTCCAGCTTCAGTGGTGGATTCTGTTTCAGGGCCAGTATCTGGCCTGGGGTGGGAGTGGGTAAAGGGAACAAAACCTGCCCAGTACTTCTCATCGCCTCAGCTCAATGTCACCTCCTCCTGGAGGCCTCCTCTATCCCCCTCCCCCATTACACTCACATTATCTTCTTCTTCTCAGAACTTGTGATTTGTAACCAGATTTGTTGTCAATTTTCTGTTTCACTTGCTAGCCTGGAAATCTGTGAGTTCAAGGATCATGTCTGCTTATTTACTCTTATAGGCCAGTGGTTAGCACAGGACCTGGCTCATAGTAGATGCTCAATAAATATTTGCTGAATGAATGACTACTTGAATGAATACCTGAATACATGAATGACCTAATGGATAACCTATGGGAAGGCTGGGAAGGCTAGTAGGGAGAAACGAGACAGCTGGGGTCAAGGGAGGAGCAAGGGCAGTCCAAGCCATCTGGTTTGCTGCCTTCTAAGGGCCTTCCAGGAAGTGTCTTGATATCCTAATACCAGTGGCAGAACTGCACATGCCCAGGAGCTGGAGTCTCCACCATACACCAAGGTCTCCTGGGTTCTTGTGACAGCACGGTAGCATCCTGGGAAGTGTGGGCAGCAAGTGCCCAACAAGTGAGGAGTTACTCTCTCCTTCTCTCTCCTGAGCTCCTTGGACTCCTCCAGGCTCCTGACTTCTACCAGGGAGGCCTGGCCCAGCACCCACCCCACACCCCTCAGACCAAGTGAAGGTCTTTCCACTGAAGTTTCCCTTCCCCTCCTCACAGGGGGTTCCTAGCTCAGCAGGGATTCAAACCCGCATGAAATGAGCAGCTGGGCCAGCCTGGAGGGGAGGGCGTGTGGTGTAGAGTGGTGATCAAAGGCTCTGTGTGTGAGGGGCAGGGGGGGTAGAGTGCGTGTAGGGGGGCATGCATGTGCTGGCTTGCCCATAAGTACAGAGAAATGAGAGAGAGAGAGACAGGGATACAAAGTAAAAGATAGGATAAAAGAGAAACAGAGATAAAGAAAGAGTAACGTAGAAAGAGACTCAGCGAGGCACAAAGAGACAAGCTAAAGACTTAGAAAGATATACAAAGAGAGACAGAGACAAGGAAAGAGACACAGAGAGGCTGAGAACAGAGAGGAGAGCAGAAGCAGTGAGGGACTGAGAAGCAAGTCTGGAGATAGAGGAACACAAGGACACCAGGAAATGATGAAGGAAGGAGAGACAGAATAGAGGTCAAGGTCAGAGACAGGAAGGCAGACACAGAGAGAAAAGGAGAAACAGAGACTGAGACTAAGGAAGAGTCACATTTATTCATTGATTCCACAGCTATCGAGCACCTAGCCGTGGCAGGCGCAGTGTAAGGCACAGATCAATGCAAGTAGACACAAATGGTAGGGACTGAGATGCAGTAATAAAGACAGAAACTGAGATAGAGACCTGGAAAGAGAGGGAGAGATTGCAAACTGAGATAGAGACTGAGGTAAGGATGCAGAGATAAGAGAGAGTGGCAGAGACAAAAAGCCTGCAGACAGAGAGGGCAGGGACCAGAGGGCAGCCTGGAAGAGGGAGACCTGCCCCCAGAGCTCCCAGCCTGGGCTCTCCTCCTCAGCCCCACCTCCAGCTGTGCTGTCTCTGCTCTCCCCACAGCTGCCTGACCTCCTTCCCCTCTGCCTCTGCTCTCTCCTGCGGGCTCTCGAGGAGGCTCTGACTTAAGACAGCTTCTCCACTCCTCCTCCTGTCCCAGAATTTTTCTACCTGAACCCCCAGGTCAGGATGGAGCCCAGCCCAACTTTTGGCAGAAGGATGAAAGCAGTAGATGGGTATAAAAAGCTTCCTCTCCACCCAGAGACCACCTTAAGACTATCCTTTGGTCCCACAGAGCCCCAAGAAGATAGGAAAAGTTTCATATGGTGGGGAGAAGGGAGAGGATGAGTGTGTGAATTGAGCTTCCAAAATAGCCAGAGTAGGCGCCTCTTCCTTCTGGTTCCCAATATACAAAAATCTCCCTGAAATCTGGAACAGAGGGGAGAAGCCATTTGTAGCAAATGCTGAGCCCTCCCCCCACCTCCTCCCACGTCATCGCTGAGAAAATGCCGCAGAGAAGAGGGTGGGCTGGAGAGGCAGTCACCTACCTGCTGGTGCCAGGTCTCTGGGCCTGAGAGAAACGCCAGTCCGTGTTGGGCGGGGCTTGCTGTAGAGAAAACAGAGGGAAAGGGACTGAGTACCCAGAGAAGTCAGAACATCACCCGAGCCCCTGGGGATGGACTGGGGGGAAAGAGGGGAGTGGACACAGAGATGAAAATGGGGTGAGATCAGCAAGGGGTAGACATCTTCAAAGACAAAATACAACTCAGGTCTCACAGGTCTGAGGTACCAGCGACAAAGAGAGAAAATAACATTTATCTGACCACAGAGAGCAAACCCAGATTCCTTTGCTAAAGAAATGGCCCCTCCTCCCTGCCCCCAGACTCAAAGCTTCTGAGCTGAGATTCAAGGGCTGAACGTGTCTTCTGCGGAACCAGGAGGGAGGGGTGCAGAGAAGGCCCCCAAAAGCGCCAGAGGAGGCTTTTAGATGAGAATTCTGTCAGCCCTAGAAAGAATTTATTCAGCTCCTCAGCTGGGGACAAAGCATCCTCTGCAGCAAGATGGCTGCTGCTCCGGGTAACCCTTTTTGTGCCAGGTTATGCTCTAACACATTCAGAGGGACACCTCCTCTAGGCCCTTGGCTCTCAAGGATCCCTTCCCACAGCTAAATACATTATTAATTTAGGAGTCATGCCAGACTGGGCCTTTGCAGGGCATCCAAGCCCCAGGACACCTCTCACCCCAGAGCTCATGCCAGACAATGGCTGTGACTAAGAAGGAGAGAACAAGGCCACTCTGTCTGGGATACAGAAAACGGTTGGGATGGAGCCCAGCAGAGATCAAGCTCCCACAGCCTCCAAGCAAAGCCAGCTAAGACTCCAGGGTTCCCAAGGGGCTCATTTGTAGCCATCTCCCACCTGAATGAAGGTGTGGGACTCTGGCCAGCAATTCACTCCTGATTCCCTCCCAGCCTCTCCAGAGGGTGTGTATCCCATTGCACCCTCACATGGAGCACTCCTAGAGCCATTTCCTCCCCGTTTCTGGGGTGTGCTGGTAATTAATTCTCACACTCACTCCCAGGAGCAGAGAAGGTGTGAGCATCTCCGATTACACTGGGGAGAAGGAAGACCCAGGGCAGCCAAGTGACATACTCTGAGGCTCACAAGTGGCAGTGCTGTGAGCAGAACCCAGAAAATTGGCATTCAAGGTGCAACAGGAGTCACCACACCATTCCAGGACTGCTGTGGGGAAGGGCACAGGGATGTCCAGCCCTCAGCCACTGTATTCTTAGGCACGGCAGAATCTACACAGACATGCAGGAACTCTGACAGATTGGCGGAGTGGTGCTGGGCAAAACTCACAACCTACATGAGGACGGCGGGTCCAAGTTCAGTTAGTGCTGCTCAAGGATAAGGAGCCTCAGAAGCCTTCTCCACACGGAAGGCCCTAAGCGGGAAAGATCCCCACTTCTGCCCCATTCCGGCAGATGCATACCGTCCCTCCTGTCCTCCAGCTTTATAGGCACCCAGTGATTGAAAGCACAAATTCTGGAGTTAGACAGGCCTAGATCTTTATCACTTACCCTATGAACTTGAGCAAGTCACTTGACCTGTGTGAAACTCAGTTACAAAGTGGGGATGCCAGTACCTATCCAACAAAAGTGTTGGGAAGAGCAACTGAAATGCTGTGGTTCTCAGAGGAGGTGTGTAGTAAGGCTCTCTCAGTCGGCTGTCAAAATCACTTAGGGGTGTTGTTTCAAAATACAATTCTGATTCAGTAGGGGCACAGTGGGGCATAGATATATTTTGAATCAAAGCTCCCAGGGTCCTGGAAACCTGTGCTTTTCACTATTATAGTTGCCCCATATATGAGGGCACCCTGGCATCTGGCAGAGGCTGTGGCTTTCCATCCACCAGGGAAGGAAGGACTTGCCAGAGTCTCAGATACTTTGGTCACCCCCAAAGCCCTGATCCTAGATCGCTGGGCACACTGTGGTCACGACAGAGCTAAAAGCCTGTCTCTGAGCTCCAGAGCCGGGGTGCACCAGGCTCCCACTTCCTGCGAGAGGACGTGGCCTCCGGTGCCACTGAGGTCCCAGGCTGCCTGTCCTGTAGGCCTGCTTATTCGCCTAAGGCCGGGCCCTGCCGCCCCTAGGGCCACAAGCAGCTTGGCCCTCCTGCCCACCCGCGGGTTCTGGGCTGGAGGCGCCGCCGCCCTCCGCCGGGAGCCCCAGGCCCAGCGGGACTGGCCGGCCCGCGGGTCATAGAGTCCTGCCCGCCCCGCGTCTAGAGCGCCCAGAGTGGCTCCCGCGCTCCAGGCGCCGCCACCTGGCCCAGGCCAGCCCGGAGGCGACCCGGCCCAGCCCGGGCGGAGCGGAGAGGAGGCCACGACCCGGGATCCTCGCCAGCGCGCTCGGTCAGCGGTGAGTACTGAGCACCTCTGAAGCCGGCAGCGGGGGAGGGAGGCCGGGTGGGCCGGGGACAGCCCGAGCGTGTGAACCTGGCAACCAGCGGCTGGCCGTGAAAGGCGGCGTGCGTGTAAAGCCAAGCGCGAGAGGCGCGCGTGTGTGCAGGTGAGGCGCGGCGAGCCCGGGCGCTGGGTGTGGCCCGTGGGTGTGTTCCGCAGGGAGGACACGCGTGAGCCCTGCGTGTGCACCTGTGTCCTGTCCACAGATGCGTTTGTTTGATGTGGGAATAAGGAGGGTGAGAAGAACAGCGAAGTCACAGATCGAGGGACAGGAGATAAACGTAGGAAGAAACCTAGAGACCGGGGGAGCAGGCCGGCGCCCAGCCTAGGAGGCTGCTGCGGGCGTGATCTGCCTCCACCCGGGACCCCCGACCCAGGCGGAAATCGCCAGAAACATCGCCAGGCCCCAGCCGTTTCTGAGTGTGGGGGCGGGGATCGGTCCTACCCCCCTCGCCCACAATCACCACCATCTCCCAGGGCTCAGAGCCCCATGCCTGCCTCGGCTACATCTCTGGTTCCACGCAATCAGTCCAAAGGGTCCCGACAATCGGGTGGAGCGCAGCTAGCGGACGAGCCCGCCCGCCGGAGAGTTGTGGATGCAAGTTCAAGGTCCCTTATGAGGCGGCTTCTCCATTGCCGCCCTCAGGGGTCGCGCCCAGCCCCTCACCTGGCTCCGCTCCCGCAGCGTGTTAGAGCGGGACCGGAAGGTGTCAGGCTCCAGCGCCAGGGCTGAAGGCTGCTGGACGCTGAGAGGCCTTAGAAAAGTGAAGTCACTGCCGTCCGAGGCTGGTGAAAAGCACGTCCTGTAGCAATGGCTCTGCGAGTCTGTGGGCCGCAGCGTCACCTCCATGTACTTGAGCGTGCCATCTGAGCTCACGTGTAGGCTGGGGCTGGACTGTTTATAGAAGTCCCGGGAGGGTGAGTCCTGGTGCCTGCAGCACCAGCCCCCACCCCCATCCTCGTCTGCATGCCCCCGAAGGCACTTAGCCGACAGAAAGGTGAAGGTGACTAAGGATAAGAGACTGATGGCTGCAAGAGCCACAATGAGGTAAAGGGTAAGGTCTGAACGCTCAGGAGGGTGTGTGAGGAAGTCGCTGGATTTGGGCATTTCTTCAGGGTCCTTGTCCTCCAGAACCAGCAGCACTGTGGCTGTAGAGGAAAGTGAAGGGTCACCATTGTCCCTCACCAGGACCACCACCTGCTGGGTGTCAGAGTCATCCTCCAGTAAGGCCCGGGCTGTGCGCACCTCACCAGTATGTGCAGACACCAGGAACAGTCCTGGGGCTGTGGACTGTGGCAACAGTGAATAGGAGAGCCATGCATTGTGGCCTGCATCAGCATCCACTGCTGTCACCTTGGTGACCAAGGAGCCAGGAGGAGCAGAGCGAGGGAGACGCTGGGGGACTGAGAGTTCCTGGCCTGGTCTTGGGTGCAGCACAGCTGGGGCATTATCATTCTGGTCTAGGACAAACAGATGCAGAGATGTGTTGGCATGCAATGGAGGAGAGCCAGAGTCTTGAACCCCTACCACGATCTGCAGCATCTGCAGCAATTCATAGTCAAAGGTACGCTGGGCAAAGACCCGCCCATCTTCAGGGTTGACATACACAAAGGAGGAGGCTGGGGCTCCCTGAATCTGATTCCCAACAATGGAGTAGGTGAGGCGGGCATTATCCCCAGTGTCTGGATCAGAGGCAGCCACAGTGCAGAGAAGGGAGCCTGGAGGCTGGTTTTCTGGGATGTAAGCAGTGTAGAGCTGCTGGGTGAAGAAGGGTGCATTGTCATTAACATCTGAAATGTTGAGCCTGATGGTGAGATGTGCATGCAGGGGAGGTGAGCCTGCATCACTGGCCAGCAGCTCAATGATATAGTGGGATGTGGCCTCACGGTCCAAGGGCTGGCTGGTTAGCAGTGAGTAGTGGTTCCCAGAAGGCTTAATCTGAAATGGCAGGTCTGGAGAGATATCAAGGCTCACTTCACTATTTTTCCCTGAGTCTCGGTCCCGCACGTTAAACAATCCCACTACTGTGCCCACTGGTGTGTTCTCCAGGACAGGGTTGACTAAAGAGGCCAGTAGTACCTCTGGGGCATTGTCATTGTCATCTCCCACATCCACTTGAATCACACAGTGGCCTTCCATGGCTGGCTGTCCCTGGTCACGGGCTCTTGCATGAATTTCATAGAAACTTGACTCCTCAAAGTCTATGGGACCCAATACATGGATTGCTCCACTGCTAGGGTCTAGGTCAAAGAGATTCCGCACTGCTTCAGATGTATGATCTCCAAAAGAATAGTCTAGTTGGCCATTGGTGCCCTCATCTGGATCAGTGGCATTAAGGCGGAGCAGCAGTGTACCCATGGGTGCATTCTCAGGGAGTCCCACACGTAGAACTGAGGACTGGAAGGTTGGAGCATTATCATTGATGTCCAGCACAGTGACAGAGATGAGGGTGGTCCCTGAGTGGGCTGGGATACCCCCATCCACAGCAGTGAGTACCAGCTGATGTCTTGCCTGGGCTTCACGGTCGAGTTGCTGCTCTAGCACCAGCTCTGGGAACAGCTTCCCATCTTTTAGGGTCTTCACATTCAGAGAGAAGTGGATGCTGGGGCTTAGAGTGTAGAAGCTCACAGTATTGGTCCCCACATCTGGATCCTGGGCACTATCCAGTGGAAATCGTGCCCCAAGGGCAGCTGATTCCGAGATGCGTATCTCTCGCTCAGGGGTGGCAAACCTAGGAGAGTTGTCATTGAGATCCAGGATCTCTACCTCTACACGGATTAGTTCCAGGGGGTGTTCAGTCACCACCTGCACTGGCAGCAGACAGCTGGTGCTGGCTCCACACAGGCTTTCTCGGTCAATCTTTTGATTCACTGCCAGAGCACCACTCATCAAGCTCAGGGAAAAATAGTGTCCATTCTCCTCAGAGCCCAACCGCAGTCGGCGGCTCAACAGATCTGTCACCTTTAAGCCTAGATCCTGGGCAACATTCCCCACCAGCGTCCCCGGCTCAGACTCCTCCACCACTGAGTAACGAAGCTGCCCAGACACCCAGCCCCAGCAGCACAAGGACAACATGCACAGCACTTGCCATTTCCCAGCGAGCTGTGGGGGTGTCTTGGGCCCCATGACCCAGAAGTCCCTTCCTGGACACTGACTCTGTGCTGTCCTGTCTCCAAGGTAGACCCAGAGCTTGGAATGTAGCAGCTGAAATCTCCTATGTCTCCTTCCAGCCTCTTAAAAACTGCTCCGAGGTCTGTCTGCCTGCAGCAGTTCTTCTTAGTCACCAAATGGCGGGGGTGGGGGGGGAGGGGAATTAATCTGAGTGGAGCTGGGGAGCTGGGGGAGGAGAGGTGGGCAGGAAGAGCAGATCTCCCACCTCAGCTCTGAGTCTGATTGGCTAAAAAGTCTGTCTGCTCTCAACCAATTATAAAGTCTCCTCAGTCCTGGAAACCTTAGGAACAGGCGCTGCAAATCTGTGTCACAGAAGCCTTCTACCTCCCCACTCATTTCGTGCTGCAGGTTGATTCAGCCCCCTTGGCAGCAAAGTTTGACAGCTCAGATGGCACTCAACAGGAAGACAAAGTGGTACAGAACTTCTCAGTGTCCTGTCCCAGCAACTTCCTGCATGACTTCGGAAGCTTCCACTACTTTGCTTGAACCACCAAAACTTTGTCCTTCTGGGAGAGAGAAGCAAAACCCACGCTTCCCCCCACCCTCCGTCATCCTACTAAATGCTGCTAAGGTGAGAGAAAAATTTCGTTAGGACCCTGCAGAGTCTTGCTCTGACTCTCCAGCAGTGCTTTGAGGAACCTCCATGTCAGCTGATGGCTATAGGACTCAGCTCTCCTGAGATCCCAGACTTCAGCTATGGAATGACCATCACAGTTTGTGGTAGGGGGAACATTTATGGGACTGATTCAGGTCACCAGGAGAGTGACTAGAGTCTAGGCATGGCCTCTAGGATTTATGGTTTCACCAATTCAGAAGAACTCTACTTAAAGACTCCGAGAGTGGCTGTCTCTATGAATTACAGCAGCATGCTGTAAACCAGTTTTCTGACATTAAGTGATTTCACTTACTGTTTTTTTCCCAAAAAGGTAATACTCCCCTGCCCTCAATCGACTGCATCTAGCTCAAATCCCACAGTGGGGACTTGATTGGGCCTCCGAAAGACCTGGACTAAAGATCTCTGCTTCTACTTTGATGCCTCTCCACTCCCTTGGCTCTTTCCTCTTTGTGCTCTCTGCTGTGTTTCAAGCAGAGTTCCCTTTACAATGGACTAGGGTGTACTTGATACTGTGGGGCAAAGACACTAGCTCTCCTCAATCCATTGGGAAATGGTAACTTAGAGTTAAGGTAGTCCAGAACCTGGCCCCCTCATTCAGGAAGAGTAGAGAAAGAGTCACCTGGGTTTAGGTGACTGCCTGGTGCATCCTACCCTTATGCACTATAGCCTTGTATGCTCCCACATTCTGGTAGCATGCTTCCACAATACTCTGGCTCTTGATCACTTACTTTCATTTCTTACTCTCAGATAAGGGCATAACCCACCCCCAAGTACTAATCTGTGACAACTCCCTGGTTAATTCACAAAACACTTCTAAAGCACAGCATCTACCACATAGTTACCACTCACAAAAATGGTGACATCACTACAGGCTCTTACAGAGAGGCTAGTACTCTCTGGGACATGGCCCAGCCATATGCCTGGATCAGAATAACCCTCAGGCATTGGCTGAGCCTGTAAAGGTCTCACCTCTAGCCCATAGAGAAGATCAGAGGGTGGGCAGCTTGGGCGAACAGGCTCCCCTGCCATAGGTGCACTGGGTGACTTCACCATCATGAAGCTATCGCTCCGAGTGGGTGCAGAAGCCAAGGGTGTACAGCCATGAGAGTGGCCACCCACATCAACAAACTTGATAGGATCATCTGACCCTAGCTGGATTCGGAGGATCCCATTGGAAGGAGGAAGCCCCTCCCTCCTTCGAGATCGGGTGAGACAGGCACAGGTGCCAGCAGGAAGGCAGGTCACTCCACAGGCAGCCCCACGCAGACACTTAGAGAGCAGTGCCACGAATGAGCCAAAGGAGACAAAGCAAATTGCCACTAGTGATACAGCCAAGTAGAGGGTCAGGCGGGATTCTCCTTCCCTTGGAGCTGAAGATTCTCGAAGATCAGGAACAACTGGATGAGTGTCTTCCTCCAAGGACACTAGGAGAGTAACGGAGGTAGAGAGTGGTGGGCTACCACTATCCTTTACCACAATGACCAACTTCTGTGGTGGGAGATCAGCTGGGATGGGAACAGCCGTCCGTACCTCCCCAGCATAGCGAGAGACTGCAAACAGGCTGGGATCTGGGGCCTCCAGGAGCTGATATGAAACCCAAGCGTTGTAACCTGAATCCAAGTCCACAGCAGTCACCTTTGTGACTAGGTGGCCAGCACCAACTGATGGAGGCAGTGCTTGGGGACATAAGGAACCAGGCCGGGCCCTAGGACGGAGCACAGCTGGGGCATTGTCATTGAGGTCCAGCACAAATAGACGAACTGTCACAGTGCTACTAAGGGGTGGGTTGCCCCGATCCCGGGCCTGCACCTCAAACTGCAGTGTCTGTGTTTGTTCATAGTCAAAGGATCGAGTAGCATGAACAGCTCCTGTCTGGGGGTTCAGAGAGATGAAGGAGGAAGCTGACACATCTCGATTTCTGGGCTCTAGGAGAGAGTAGGAGATAAGCGCATTCAAGCCAGAGTCTGGATCAGAGGCTGCAAGGGAGCAAAGCAGGTCCCCTGGGCGATTGTTCTCAGGAACAAACACCTCATGTGATCTCTGGAAGAAAGAAGGTGGGTTATCATTCACATCTGAAATATTGAGGAAAATAGTCCTCTGGGTACTCAGAGGAGGGTTCCCAGCATCAGAAGCAGTGACCATGATGTCATAGCTGGATCTGGCCTCTCGGTCCAAGGGCCCAGCAGTCACCAGGGAGAACTGGTTCCTGAAGGCAGACTTGAGGGCAAATGGCAGGTGGTCAGGAATACGGAGGCTCACATCTCCATTTGACCCTGAGTCAGGGTCCTGCACACTGATGAGCGCCACCACAGTGCCAGGTTCTGCACTCTCTGGGAGAGTCCCAAGCTCTGAGGTCACCGTGATGTGGGGGGCATTGTCATTTACATCCAGGAGATCCACCCGAAGGCTGCAATGTTGCTCCATGGCTGGAGAACCCCCGTCACGAGCGCGAACATCAAATTCATAATAATTCTCACTCTCAAAGTCTAGGGGCCCCTGAAGGGTAAGCTTTCCAGTAGTGGGGTGCAGGCTAAAGAGGTTTCTTACACGATCAGGGGTGTGACCACTGAAAGAAAAAGTGACGTTACCACTGGGACCCAGGTCCGGGTCAGAGGCATTGAGCTGGATGAGCAGCATGCCGGCCGGTGCACTCTCCAACACACTTATCCTGTAGCTGGATTGCTGGAAGGCTGGGGCGTTGTCGTTCACGTCCAGCACTGATACCCGGAGTTCTGCGGTGCCAGATCTTGGGGGGTTCCCTCCATCCACAGCAGTCAGCACCAGGCGGTAGTCTGATTGCTTCTCCCGATCCAAAGGTTTCTCCAGGAGCAGCTCTGGGACCAGGCTGCCGTCGCTGCGCTTCTTGACATCCAGTGCAAAGTGTTCATTGGAGCTTAGTCTATAGCTGCTGATGGAGTTGCTCCCCACATCTGCATCCTGAGCCTTTTCCAAGGGGAAACGCTGTCCTGGAGGAGCTGCCTCTCCAATTTCCAAGTCCAGCTGCTGCCGAGGAAATCGGGGGGCGTGATCATTCACATCCACGATTTCTACCTCTGCTCGGTACATTTCCAAAGGCCCTTCGGTTACAAACTCCAGGGGCACGATGCAGCTGGCACTGAGCCCACACAGTGCCTCTCGATCGATTGGATTCTTGATGAGCAGGGCTCCGCTGTCCAAATCCACACGGAAGTGTCTTTGGTTCACCTCTCCAGCGACCTGCAGCCTGCGAGCTGACAGACTCTCTGTATCCAGCAGGAAATCTTGGGCGACATTCCCTACAAAAGTCCCTTCCTGTGACTCCTCTGGGACCGGGTATCGGATCTGCCCAAAAACGTAACCCAGGTGGCAACAGAGGAACAAAAGGGTAGCCCCCCTGCAGATTTCTATCCAGCTTCTCACCTTGCGGAGCATTGCTGCCGCCTGCTAGTTCTCTACCCGGTCCTGAGAAGCGGAAGAAGCCGACCCACCCCAAATGGCCACAGCAGCTGGAGACACCTATCTCCCTTTCCCCGCGCCAGCTCTGGCGCGGCTGGGCCGGCGCCGCAAGGGTTACGCGCCGTTTTTTGCTGGTGGCGGGGTAGATTTGTCTGCCTTCCACCACCCGATTGGCAGGCAGCGGCTCCTGGGCTCAGCCAATAGGCTGAGCAGAGAACATCCCAATAGCAGCAGGGTTAATGCGTCGCAGCATTGGAGGAAAAAAAAAACATACACATACAAAAAACAAAAAACCCACCTATTTTTTCACCTTCCTCCCGCTCAACAGCATTTCTTTCCACGGGTTGTTACCTCTATAGAGAGGCAGACAACATACATGTAGGGCTTTTTTTTTTTTCCCTTAACACACCAACTTCCCCCGCCCCTTTTCAGCGGGGAAAACAGCGACAGCCAGAGCCCTAGCAACCTGCAGCCCAGAGAGTGAGTAGCCATTTGAGACTGGTCACTTTGTTCAAGCCAGTGTTGTCATCCACCAATATTCTAAATGAGTAGCTTCTGCCTCAGTCTGATTGTATTAGAGCTACAGCTAATTAGAAGCATTGCCATATAGTCAAAACTCTCTGCAGATTGTTCCGAAATGTATCCATCTCTTTGCAGAAAAGGCTCACACATTAATGTAGCCAATTACATTTATGCAGTACACGTTTTTGTTGTAACAGGAGGCGCAGTGGAAACCAAACCCTTTTTATTCAGACACTTGCTAGTGATATACTAAATTATCATTCATTGATTTCAAGGACAGTATGGAAGGAGGTGAAGCAAGGTGGAGGAAGCCAGGAGAGGGAGATGATCCAAATCAGTAAAGAATCAGTGTCTGGGAGGCGCTAAGGACTAGATCTCATTACCTGGCAGAATGCTAACGTTCACAGATTTAATAGCTTCCTTGAATGATTGAGATCAGCTACCAACAGCATTGTGCCTACAAATCCCCTTTATTTGACACCACGGTATGCTTGATATGTTGTTAACTAGCAACATAGACTGTTTCAAAAGAGCCAGCTTTTCACTTAGCCCCAGGAAGCCTCTTGGAGCTGGAGACTTGATCTCACTCCACCCTCACCCTGATCCAGACCGTCCCAGGAGCCAGGCTACCACCTTGCACAAATGCAGAAACACAGCAAACTGTAATCCGAGTGGCAAACATACCAGAGGACAAAAAAGGAAAATCCAGCCTGATCTGGACATGAGATTTCTTAGCTCATCTGAATCCTCACCTAGACTACCACTGGCTGCCAAAACCAGTGGTAAAACCTGGGGTTCTTATTGTCCCCAGATGTTTTCCACACCCTTCATCCTTAGGAATATCCTTTTGACTGGTAAGGCCAGGAACCAATATTCTGGTCTCAAAGAGAGGGATCTGGGTTTCTGTGTTCTTACACCAGGATTTACTACCTCAGTGAATGACACCATTGTCCACCCAGCTGCCTCATTCAGAATGAGGGAGGGATGGGGAGGGTCATCCTTGACTCATTCCTCTCCCTGACTCCCTATGGCATGTAATCAACAAGTCCTGACGATTTTACACAGTCATCTCTCTCCATCTATACTGCCACTGTGGTGCTTCAAGCATTTGTCAGTCTTCTCCTCATATATTATAATAGCCTTCAACTGTTCTGTTTGCCTCAGTCCCAATATCCCCAATCCATTTCACTTATGGCTACCAGAATAATGTCTGTAAAACAAACAAAAAATCCCTGATAATATCATATCTATGTCAGTTCAAAATTCTGCAATGACTATCATCTATATATAATAAAATAAAAACTCCTTGGCCTGACCTAACCTCAAGATCTAACTCCTGCCTACTGGCTTCACTTTCTTGCAAAGACTGTCTGTTTTACAAACATACTTTAAGCTTCAGCAGTAATGAAATATCATTATCCCTCTGCATGGAATTTCCTGCAAGGGCCCCTCCCTGCCCCCCTTCCCCCTTTACTATTTGATAAACTACTACTCAACCTTTAGCTCAGGCATCACCACCTCTATGAAGCCTTCCTGATTTCCCCAGGCTAGCTTAGGTGTTTCTTTCCCTTTGCTCCCATTGCTTCTTGTATTATGCAAATCTCCATTATCCTTTTTTTTTTTTTTTTTTTTTTGCATATCTGTCTCCTGTGGAACTCCATGTACCATAATGGCAGGGACTGTGTCTTTTCATCTTTTACAATGTCTGGCAAATAGGGATGCTCAGTAAATGGTGAATTATTGATATTATCATTTGTTAGTTCAACAAATATTTATTGAATACTTGTACTTTATATGAGTACTTTACATTGAGTACAAACACTTTATATGCATTACTTTTCACTCTCATGACAATTTTGAAAGGAGGTATTATCTTTATTTTATAGATGAGGAAACCAGAATTCAGAAAGGTTAAGAGACTTGCCTAAGCTAAACAACTAGTCTGTGCAGTACTCATATCCCCTACTGTACCCCTGGTCCATCTGGTAAGAAACAAAGCCTCTTTCTATAACATCTTAAATGATTTTCCCACCAGTTTGTCATCCCTATAACCATAAACTGGCCCTTTACTAATGCCAAGAATTATACCTCCTATAGGTCTCAATTCCTTATATTTGCAAGTTCGCACCAAAACCAACAGGCACACAGTCTGTATTTCTAGAACTGGAGCATCATGAAGCCTTAATCTTACATATCCTTGATTTGACCTTTTTATTTCAGGAAGGTGATTCTCCCACCTCTAGATTTTTTAAACAGCTTTATCAAGATGTACATCACATACCATACAATTCATTCATTTAAAGTGTACAATTCAATAGTTTTTAGTATATTCATTTACACTAAAATGATGCAACCATCACCACAATCTAATTGTAGAAAGTTTTTGTCACTCCCAAAAGAAATTCCATACCCATTGCCCAGCTCTAGATTTTTAAAGAACAGTTGCCCAAGTGCAAGTAGTTTAGGAAGGTTTTCTCTTTAAATGATTGACATATCTTCTTATATCTCCCCTACAATACTCTTCTAGATCTAATCTATGTAAAGTTATAAGGTTAGGAAATAACATGACAGAATTTTTTCAAGTTCAGCCTGGCCCAATAGGGCTGGCTCCTGGTTCCGTGAACACCAGAATAATACTTTACTTCATAAATATGCCAACTGATAGACTGGCAGGTTCTAGGGCAGTGGTTTTCAAACTTGTCTGCACACTGGAATCACTGGAGGACCTTCAAAAAATACTGATGCTTGTGTCCCACCCCCAGAGATTGTGCTCTAATTGGTCTGGGGTGTGGTCTGGGCTTCAGAATTTCTACAAGATCCCTAGGTGATTCTAGTGTGTAACCAAGTTTGAGAACATTGTTCTAGGGAAAATGCCAGTTGATTTCTAGTCTGATCGGAAGAGCAGCAGCTGTTTCTCTCTGGCTTTCATCCCTCCTTGGCCATTCCATATATGCCTCTACTTTGTCATCTTTGGTGTCTCCAGATTTGCTCATTTCCAAGATGTGTTTAAGATTTGGGGTGGGTAAAGAACTAACAAAAAAATAATGGTAATAGTAAGAATTTTTTAACATGTATGATACACCAGGCACTGTGCATGTGTCATGCAGTAATCTTATGAAGTCCTTTTTATTCCCTTTTTGCATCTGAGAACTGGGCTTAGAAAGGAGACTAACTTGGCCAAGGACTCATGGTTGGTAAGTGGTGAAGCCTCATTTGTCTAACTGTCAAATCTAAGGGTTGGTAGCAATAATATACTTATTAGTAACAAAATAACAATGATTTTCCCACAATTGGAAGTGTGTGTAAGTATCACTCCAAGACAAAGGCCTTGCAGTCACTTGCACACCATCCTGAATGAATGAAAGCTTTACCTTTCTCAAGATAGGAGTTTACCTACCTTTCACACTGTGTGTATACCTAAGAAGAATAATGCTGGAAGGATAGGGAATAACACTGCGGGTACAAAAGAACTTTCATTTTGTACTTTATCTTTTTTTAGATTGTCTGAATTTATTTTCAAAATAAATGATTACTTTTATAATTAATGGTGGTTATCTTTGGATTTGGGGATTATAGTTAGTTTTAACTTTTTCTTTATAATTTTATGCATTTTCCAAATTTTCTATAATGCACATGCATTATTACTATAACATAAAAATATTTTGTAAATAACATACACATCATTTCCAGTAGTGTGCTTGAAATAAAATTTAAAGGATGTGTAAAATTTTATTTCTTTCATAGAAAATCGTCTGAGAATGAGGTACAGGATCTGTGTCGGCAAAGGAAAATTAGAAGCAAACCATGAGTTTTAATGCAGATCTCACAATCATTTGCAAGATGGACGAATGAGGTAGTTTTTATATTCCTAGCGGCTGCCACTGGTTAGAGGTATCCAGCAGCTTGTTCCCAATGACACCAAGCTAAGCTCTGAGTGCTGGGATCTTGGGTTATAGCTTAAAGATCCCTTACCAAGATTGGTTAGTTGTGATGGCAAGTGAATGCTGAGGGTGTGTGTGGATTGCGTCTACAGATGAGTCAATTAACTCCACACTGTGTGAGACTACAAACCACACTCTAGCCAGGCCATCCCCCTCACAAAGGTACAACGTTTGCTCTAGGAAGGGCCAGGTGAAAATGTAGATGCATAATTAGGTAAATATCTTCATCACTAAAAAACACCTCATACCTTCCACAACATGGTGCAGGAATCAAAAAGCATTACTATCATTATGGGATGACTTGCTAACTCTTACCTGTCCGGGAGGGGAGCTCTCTGCACCCAACACTTGCCTATAGAACACCGGATCGCAGCTGCGCAGCGTGTTCTGGCGGCTGGCCGGGGGGCTGGCGGCGCCAGGCTTCTTCAGCAGCGGGTCGCTGCGGCGCGAGTCGGTGGTGAGGTACACCTGATGGTAGAGGTGCGGCGGCATCAGGCCTCCCCGCACGGCGTCTGCGTGCAGAGAAGGCCCTGGTGTTCGGTACAAGGAGCTCACGGGAGCTCGGTATAGGTCCCTGGACTGTTTCCACTTGTAAACTTTGAATATGATCACTCCCAATACTGTGACTGCGAACCCCACCGAGACCAGGATTAGAGAGAGGAGTAGATAAAAGGTGAGATTTTTATTTTGCTCACGAGGGGCAGAGCCAGAGGGGAACTCGGCCCGGGCTTCAGGAGATTCCTCGGTTACTGACACAGTCAGGGTCGCGGTGGTGGACAGCGACGGCTCCCCATTGTCCATGATTAAGACCGTGAGAGTCTGCCTGGGCGAATCTGTGTCCTGGACTGGACGGGCAGTGCTGACTTGACCCGTGTGAAGCCCCACGGCAAAAAGGCTCTGGTTGGGGGCTCCCAAGAGGCTGTAGGAGAGCCAGGCATTGTGCCCTGCATCTGGGTCCCAGCCTACCACCCGCGTGACCACGTGGCCAGCGGCGGTACCTCGAGGCAGCATCTCCACCGAGCTCCCGCCAGGTCGGGGGTATAGGACCTGGGGGGCGTTGTCGTTGCGATCAGTGACAAATATGTTTACACTGATGTTGGTGGTCAAGACCGGAGTGCCCCCGTCGCTGATATGAGCTGTTAATTCGAACTCCCGCTGATCCTCATAGTCCAGGGGCACTAAGGATGACACGACGCCACTGTCACGATTTATCGTGAAATAGCGACCCACTAGCCCAGTTTCAGCTCCTTGCTCCAAAAGAAAGAAGGAAAGGCGAGCATTCTGCGGGGCGTCGGGGTCCCAGACACTTAGATTTAGTATGGGAACCCCGGGGAGATTATTTTCCTCCACGTAAACGTCGTAGGAAGACTGGGAAGATTGTGGAGGGTTGTCGTTGATGTCGGACACTTGCACCCGCAGTGTTGTAAGGGCTGAGAGGGACGGGGCTCCCGAGTCTCGAGCTGTGATGCTGAGGTTGTATTCTGGCACAGTCTCCCGATCCAGGGCTGCGCTGGTTTTCAAAGTAAAGTAATTCTTGAGAGAAGAAGTAAGGCTGAAGGGAAGACCTGGTGGAACTTCACAAGTCACCAGCCCGTTCTCTCCAGCATCCAGATCGGTCACACTGAGCAAAGCGATGACAGTTCCTAGAGGGGCATCCTCAGGGACTGGGCTGTACACGGAGGTGACTGTGATCTCCGGGGCATTGTCATTTACGTCCAAAACCTCTACCAAAACTTTGCAATGTGCTCCTTCGGGATTGGCGCCCTTGTCTTTGGCCTGTATGTAAATCTCGTGGAGTTTCGTGTCTTCGAAATCCAGTCGACCCTTGATTGTCAGCACTCCGGTTACAAGGTCTAAGGAGAATAGTTCCCGCACCCCGGCGCGGTTGTGGCTACCAAAGGAGTAAACGATTTCACCATTGAGGCCTTCATCCAGGTCCGTTGCGCGGACTTGTACCACGCGGGTGCCGGGGGGTGCATCCTCCAGGACGCGAGCCCGGTACAAGGACTGGTTGAAGGCAGGCGCATTGTCATTCGCGTCTAGCACGGCGATGAGAATAGGAAGGCTGGCGGAGCGAGCCGGGGTTCCTCCGTCCAACGCCGTCAGCACCAACTGGAGACTTGGCTCTCTTTCCCGGTCCAGGGCGCGCTCCAGCACCAGCTCCGCGTACTTGGTGCTGTCCTCCCGCGTCTGCACGCGAAGCGCAAAGTACTCGTTTCGGCTGAGCTCGTAGGTTTGTAAAGAGTTGCTTCCCACATCCGGATCGTGCGCGCTCTCGAGCGGAAAGCGCGTGCCTGGCACCACGGCCTCGCTAATCTCCAATTTCATTTCCCGGGTAGGGAAAGCGGGATTGTTGTCGTTGATATCCTGGATCACCACTTCCGCGCTGAACAGCTCTAGTGGGCTCTCCACTACCAACTCCAGAGTTACGGTGCAGGAAGGCAGGGTCCCACAAAGCTCCTCTCGATCCAGACGGTCGTTCACGAACATCTCTCCGGTCTCCCGGTTCACCTCAAAGAATCTTCGGCTAGCTCCAGACACCACCCGGAGCCTGCGGGTTGACAGGCTGCCGAGATCCAAGCCAAGGTCTGTGACCACGTTGCCCACCGCGAAACCTTTCTCTCTTTCCTCCAGGATCTCATAGCGAATGACGGCAGAAGCCTTGTGCAAGGCACCAAGCAGAAGCAAAACTCCCACCACTCTCCCACTGCTTACCAGTCCGCTCCTCCAGGCTTCTGGGACCATCTCACTCAAAGGCAGTTTCTCTTAGCGGGGTCCAGATCGTCCCGGCTTTTTCGCTGAGAAACTTTCAGCGGGTTAGCGCTTGGGCGCTGGGCGCCGAGTCGGACATGGCTTTCTGGATGCCGTTGATTTGCTCGCCGGCTGTTCGGTCTCTGCCTCATCCCGGGGCGCCGAGAGGGGACGGGCCGGGGCCAGATCTCCAGCGTCTTCATTGGCCGACAGCGGCACGCAGAGTCCCAGCCAATAACTGCACGAAGAATGCGCTAGCGCCGGGCTCTGAGCGGGACAAGCGCTAGCGCCAGGAACTTCACTTTCTTCTGGCTTCCTCCCAGAGTTTACGGCCGGCCGAAGCGCCTTGGCAGTATCCCTCCGTCGGAAGCCTACCTTAGCCTGGAAAGCAGGGCGATGAAGCTGGCGGTGCTGCAAGTCTTCAAGCCAAACCAAGGCCTATTAAACACTTTAATCGTTTTCTTCAATCGCAAGAAGGGGGACCAAACCAAACCGAAAACGACACAACGTTATCTGGAGAAACACTAACATCTTGGGTTTGTTGGAGGACTGGGTAAAATCTATCTAGCTGGGCTCTACTTGTAAGGAGGCTTTTAGCATTTCTGTGGAGATGTTAATAATTTCAGTTTTCTCTCTTAGCAAATGAGACTGTAGAATTAATTCCCTGTCACTTCCTCAGTAGAGAAAATTAACAGGAGCTGTTTGGTTTAACTCTGTTTTATGAAATTAAAAATACAATTCAGGTTTCTTTTACAACTGGATTTTTTAGCTCTCATTGCTTAATCACCAGGGGCAGTGTGAAATTTTCCCACCCTGTCTTTCCCAGTGAGCATGATCTCAATCATAAAGCATAATCTCAAACACTTCCTTTTACTTAATCAATCATTTCCCAAGGTCTTGGGTTCATATGCCACAGAGAGATGTTGCATTGCTAACAAAGGATAACATCCTCCTTCCTCCCCACCCCCAAAAAAAGAAAGAAACAGGCCTCTTTACCACCTTGGACCTTTATAAAATGATTGAAACATGGCAGAAATACAAAGCCTGTAGCCATAGAATAAAGAGCCTTGAGTTTTCTGCATTTAGGATTGTAGTCACCAAAGAAAATAGCAATGATTAGGATAATAAGTAAGATAGTCTGCTATGAAATGTCAGGGCTGAGTTGTACATCCTTAGACAAGAAACTACCCTCTGAGGGCCCCTGGGTTCCTCTCCTACTAAAGGAGTAAGGCAAGTCAAATACCTGGTACAGAATAAGCCTCAATAAATTATGCAAATCACCCCATTAGATACTAGATGTAAAGTTTTAGAGCTTCATACTATTTCTGTATACTTGTCTTGGACATCACTTTGACTGCATATAGTCCTGTCTGCATGTACCTGAACCTTAAGGCAGGGAGGTAGGCAGACAGGTTAGTTAGGTAGATAGGAAGTATATATAGGATATTTATTGGAGGGATGAAAAGCCATATTTGACTTGTCTCTCCACATCCTCAATACCTTAATTCATCTCTTAAAACCTCCAGTTTTAAATACTCAAGTTTGACAATTGGCCAGACCACCAAGAAGGCTGATAGGTATTAGAAGAAAGACTATATACTACAGAATATATGTCGAATTTAGAATATAGGATACAGCCCAGTCACTTGTTACTCAGAGTGTGAGCCAAGGACCAATGGCATAGGCATCACCTGGGAGCTTGTTAGAAATGCAGAAATGCCCCACTACAGACCTACCAAACCAGAATCTGCATTTTAACAAAATACCTGGGTGATCTGAATGTACATTAAAGTTTCAGAAGCACTGATCTAGTGGGTTATTCAAAGATATACTGGTTTATCAATCATTTTTTCCCATTCACCATCACTTCATTGACAGTCTGATTTTTAAAAACTAGCTTTTAAAAGTTGAAGTAGTATTCCCATTAGTAATAAGGCCCATAGTTTCCCTAAGACCTCTTCATTAGCCAGCAGAACTCTCTTGGATCCATTGTCCACAGTAGCCAGAGTGACCTTAAAATTTTAATTGGATCATACGATTCTCCAGCTCAAAACTCCTCAGTAGCATCTTACTGCTTTTGAAATAAAATACCAAATCCTTTGCGTAGTATCCAAGTTCTCATGCTTCTCCTTCTCTTGATACTCCATTTACACTGCTTTCACAGTATGGTCGTTAGCCAAGCTCTTTTCTGCCTCAGGGCCTTCATGCAGCCCGCTCCTCTCCCAGGAAGGCTTCTTTCCCTTCCCTCTCTTTGCCTTGCTAATTTCTACAAATCTTTCTGGTCTCACTTTAAATGTTACTTCCTAATAGGCATCTTCCATTAGGGATCAGTTTAAACTATGATCCTTGTTATGCTCTCTTAGGGCACTTTATATTTTCCTGTGTTGAACCCAGCACAAGTTAAAATTTTATAATTATATTTTTGTTTAAGCATAATATCTGTATCTTCCACTAAAATAAAAGCTGCAGGAGGGCACAGACCATGCCTGTTTTGATGATCGCTTATATTCCCAGTATCTAGCACAGTAGGCACTTAATGGTTTTTCCTCCCAGCTTTATTGAAGTATACTTGACAAATAAAATTGTATAAATTTAAAGTGTACAACATGATTTGCTATATGTATATATTGTGAAATGATTACCAGAATATAGTTAACACATCCATCATCTTGCCTTGTGTGTGTGTGTGGTAAGAAGATTTAAGATCTACTGTCCTAGCAAATTTCAAGTACACACTACAGTACTGTTAACTATAGTCATCAGATTCCCAGAACTTATTCATCTTATAACTGAAAGTTTGTACCCTTTGACCAACTTCTCCCTATATTTAACGCTTCTTAATATAGCAATCTTCATGCTGATGGCATAGTAATCATAAAATACACTAAGAACTATATATATTCATTTGTGTGCATCCATTTTCCCAAGGGGTAAGCATTTGTCAAAGATACAGTCACTCTTTCAAGCTGCCAGTGGGCCTAATGAAACTATTTCTTAACGTAATGATTTCAAAGAGAAAACATAGTTTGCCAAAGAGCCAAGTAAGGTGTGGTAACACAACTCACACTGGAAAAAAACAGAGAGATGGTGTAACTTCCCCTGTTACCTCTATCCAGGGGAAATGGAAGCACCAGTGTACAGGATCAATACAATTTTCTAGTCTCTATCTTCTTTTCTCTCTGTTTTATAATTTCAAGAGATCCTCTGATCAATGAGATGCAGCAATATAATTTTAAAATAGAAAGTGAATATATTATAGTGGTCAAGAGTGGGGCCTTAGTGTCTAAAAGACTCAAGTTCCAATAGTGGATATTACACTTAGTAGCTATGTAACCATGAAGCTTTCATTTTTAACTTCGCTTTTATTTTCTTTATCTGTAAAATGGGAATAATAATAGCACTCCTTGACATAACTACAGGCACCTCAATCTCTTATTTCAATCCTTAACAGTTTATACTTGCCATAGAGTTCTCCTAGACAATCAATGATTTTTAGTAAATTTATACAGTTATGCAACCAACACCACAATCTAATTTTAGAATACTTTCATCACCCCCTAAAAGTTCCCCCATGCCTGTCTGTACTCAATCCTTGCTCCTACCCCAAGCCTCAGGCAACCACTGATCTACTTTCTATGTTCTTTTGCCTTTTTGAAATTTCATAAAAAGGGAATTACAAAATACATAGCCTTTTGTATCTGGCTTCTTTCACTTAGCATAATATCAAACCCAACTCTTAACTACACTCTCAAATCTGTACATTGTCCAACCTTCTTCATCTAACAAGGGGCATTTCTAGTCCAGTCAAAAACTTCCAAGTTATTTTCAACATCTTTTTCAACATCCCCACATTCAATTCTTCACCAGTTCATGCCAATACTTGCTACCTCCAAAAAAAAAAAAAAAAAAATATATATATATATATATATATTTTCTGCTTTTTCTCCCAACCCCCCCCCCAGTACATAGTTGTATATTTTATTTGTGGGTCCTTCTAGTTGTAGCATGTGGGACGCCACCTCAGTGTGACCTGATGAGCAGTGCCATGTCTGTACCCAGGATCCTAACCAGCGGAACCCCGGGCCGCTGAAGCTGAGCACACGAATTTAACCACTCGGCCACGGGGCCAGCCCCCAAAATATATTTTGAATCTTTCAATTACTTTCCCTCTTTACTGCCACCACCTGAGTCAAAGCCACCTTAAACACTGCCATAGCTTCCTCTCTGGTCTTCTTATATCCTCTTGTGCTTTCCTTAAACTCCATTTCACATACACAAACCTGAGGGATCTTTCAAAAATATAAATTAAATTATATACTCTCCTTGATAAATATAGTGCTTGGTACCAGGATTGGCTACATAATTTGTGGGGACAATGCAAAATGAAAATAGGGGGCTCTTTGTTTCAAAATTATTAAGGATTTCAAGATGGTGACAGCAGGGCATTAATCCAAATGCAGGACCCTTCTAAGAATGGGGTCCATGTGACAGCACAGGTCACCTGCCCATGACACTGGCCTTGCCTAGAACAGAGGAAGCTCTCCATAAATATTACCTAATATTATTATTATTGTTATTATTATTTTTGAGGAAGATTAGCCCTTAGCTAACATCTGCTGCCAATCCTGCTCTTTTTTGCTGAGGAAAACTGGCCCTAAGCTAACATCTGTGCCCATTTTCCTCTACTTTACATGTGGGATGCCTGCCACAGCATGGCTTGACAAGCTGTGCATAGGCCCACACCTGGGATCCGAACCGGTGAACCCCAGGCCACCGAAGCAGAAGGTGCGCTTAACCGCTCTGCACTGGGCTGGCCCCTACCTAATATTATTTTTTAATGTTAGGTAGTTACCTAATATTATTTATTCCCTGAGAGTCAGTAATATCAGAAAAGCCTATTAATGATACTATTAAATTACAGCATTCAAGTGAAAACATATATGTGTTATTCCCTTAAAATTCTAAATATCATCTAGTAATCTTTCAATTCAATATGATTTGCCTATTTGAGAAATATCCTAAAGTCAACTTAAGGGATCATTTAAGGATAAATGGTATAAAAACAGATAACCAATAAATCAATCAAACATGTATCACAATTTAGACAAGTGGGAGATTCAAGCATTTGGTGAAGAAGCTGGATGGTTTAGCCTTAAT